GTGTCCTCACTTTCTGCTCTCCAAATGAATGCTACGAGAAAATCGACGGTCTACGTTTGTTAATGAAGACTTGCTCTTTAACACAGATAGATAATCAGCAGTGATTAGGTCTTCATTTGGCAGAAATCTGCTGTTGAAAATGACCATGTTTTCAGATAAAATGCGGTGTATCTCTCGGTAGAGGGGGGCTAGAAAGAAGTCGACGGTCTAGGTCGAATCCCCTTTTCCTGAGCTTTCGAATGGTATATAGGTTGCTGGGCGAAAAAACTAATCAGTTTTCAAAAATGGGGTGGAGATATTTACTATTAGCTTGCTCCAACCCAGCTCCACCAATGTATTGGCTTTTATCGGTTACCGGAGCAAATGATTTTTAGAGCCGGGAAGCAAAGAAGCCCTAACATGCTGTATACCATTCGAAAGCTGAGATCATGGAGAATCGACTTAGACCGTCAACTTTTTTCTAGGTCTTCTGTGCCGCGAGATATGAGGGATTTTATGTGCTTCAAAAATTAACTGATTTTGTGTCCTCACTTTCTGCTCTCCAAAATGCTACGAGGATAAATAAATAATATAAATAAAGATAAATACCGTTTCTTTAATAAATTTATGAGCGTACTTGTTGTTTGAGGTACTTAGCCTGCTTTTCGTAACGAATTTTATCATATTCTCAGAGTACAATACCAATCTCAGCCCAGGTGAAGGGGGTCATCGGGAGTTTGGCCTCAAAGTGAAGGGGGTAAGATCCATCACTCCCCCTATCGCAACTATGGTTTCAGCACGTCTTTCCAGGCGACGCCATCCTTCTTGACGTGTTCATTCCTGTGGCGAGAACTGGAGTGAAGCGGGAAAGCTCGTCCGCGTCGCTTCTAAAGGGGTTTCGAAAAACGGGGTTTCCGGGGTTTTTGCGCAAATTAGAGCCCGTTTAGGACTACACAAGGTCGAGAAGACTTGTAATTTGCAAAAATCCCGAGATCCAAATTCTAGTGAGACACTGCCTTTAAAGGCAGCGTCCGGGCAAAATTTCGCCTCTCATGTCTCTGCCATTCTGGGGCCTTCCCGTGGCCCTGAATACAGTTGTAAAGTCCAAATTGTTCAACACCCCCAAAAAACCCGATTCTTGGGGACCCTCTCTTCAAGAAGCGGACGAGTTTCGGATTGCTCGTCCCCATCGCATGCCAGCGGGAGGAGCTGCAACTGCACGGATGCCAGTTGCATTGCAGTATGCAGTGCAACTGCAATGCAACTGCAGTGCAACCGCACACCTGCGTGAGCACTCGTCCTCAGCGGTGGTTTGTGATACGAAGGCACAGTTTGTGATACGTATCACAGGCCCGTATCTCTTTTCAGAGGCCACTTCAAAGATTCAGACCAACGCAGATCGGATACTCATGGGCCCCTCTTTACAACTATGTGCTAACCTGGGTAGATGGATCTTGCCCGGACGCTGCCTTTAACCATGAACACACAACTTGCTTCATTCATGAGCTGCAAGTTCAGAACTTTTTTGTCACAGAACTGCATTACCGCCCTTGCGATGTTGCGTGTAATTCTTTGACCATATCCCAAGAGAAAGTGAGCTCCATCAACAATTGATGAAACAGACTTCTTTCAGGAAATGTAGCGTGAGCATTACTTTCGCTATTGGGATTAGAAGGGAACATCCAACATCCAACTTCCAACATTTTATACTTCCTAAGGCTTGGAATATTGTCGAAGGATATATACGTATACTCGAGACTGAGTCGCAGTCTTCTGAAAGTCGATCCCAAATACGTTTCAAGTAGTATCAGGTTGTCCTAAAAGTAAACTTCTCTTTGAATAATTCAAGCTTTGCTTTCCTAGCATATTTGGGGTATCACTTGATAGAGCAGATCAAGCTCTACAAAATGACCACCAAGGGTTCTCCTAAGTCGCATTCCTTGTAAAGTTTGAAGCCAAAATCGAAAAAAATTGTCACTTGAAAATTGGATTTTTGCGAGGAGAACCTCTACGGACCTCCAACTTGATCGTTATGCAGTATGCACATAGCAGCACTCAAATAAGCCTTTACTGGATTTTTCCGGGCATAGAAAGTGAGAAAAAAAAGGTAGTCCAAAAATGGTGAACCCCGTCCATAGCCCCTCCCACCTATGTCATTATATGCTAAAAGGTCTTTTAAGTATAAACTATGAACTTCGCCGATGTACCTACTTTTATGATTGAGAATTACCAAGTTTTACATGAAAAACCCGAAAAAAGTAGCACTTGGGCATTTTCGGACCATCTTTGCTTCTCCATTTTGAGCTCAGGAAAAAATCAACTACATTTTTGGATACTGCTATGTGTCTGTATGATGACCAAGTTGGCTAACTATGAAGCAATCGAGCTACAGAGTAGTGCTTGAATGTCGGCAAAAGATTAGCGAGAAGAGAGAACTTAACGATGAAACAGTGCATAGGACTTTTTAGTTTTCGAGTGTAGGACATTCTAAAAACGCGTATCCATTATGATTTGTTCCTTGCATGGCAGCGATATCGAATGCTCTTTGAAGCATCTTTTCTAAAAGCACCGTTTCCGCAGATTTTTTCTGTCGACACAGCCGAATGACTATTATATTGGCCTAAAACCATTCCGTCGTTTTTAACGGTCTGTAGAAATGTCGCAAATGAATTGGTGTAAATTTATGTTACCGTTAGAAAGAGTAAATCAAGGAGAATCGGATAGTTGACTCTGTTTGCTCAAAAGTTACAAGTTTTCACTCGCCGCTCATGGTCCTTTCTCGGGTGTATGTCAAGAGGCGCGATTTTTATTGCCAGCTGGACACCAAATGGCACATAATAAGTGTTCTGCAACTTTCTAAAAGTAAATGAAATTTGGAAGAAGATGTATTAGATAGTTGCATAAGCTGTTCAATCTTGATACTTTAGAAAAAATTCAAAAGAGCAATTTTAAAGGTCAGAAACTCATGAAAATACATTTCAGAACAAATTCGTATATATTTCATTCCGATCTATAGCAAAAACTATGAAAATCAGCAAGTGGTGACCTCAGGCAGACAGTAAGCTAATGCAATTTATCTGGTAATTTTTGTAGACTCGCATAGCACTAAAATGGAGTTTTAATTGGTGACAGCCAAAGAAATCGCGCCTCTTGACCGTCTTCCTCCTTTCTCGGCGCGTATGCTATCATCAAAAGTGATGATAGCATACGCGCCGAGAAAGGACCATGAGCGGCGAGTGAAAATTCTTCCTCTGCCGTTTGTGGACGCGCCGCACCGTCGGAGCATACTGACAACATTCTTTTTTTCATTTCCATGCTTTAGATCACTTACTTCCTCTATAAGAAATGGGAGTGGCCATTCCAGGTGTGGTGCGGAAGGCGACAATCCCCAGTTTTGTGCCTATCAGAAACACTCCGGTGTCAAAGAGACACCCCGGGACTACGGGGGTGGGGGGGGGGGCAGATATACATTACTCAATGCCACAAGTAGAAATCCGTGAAAGTCATTGAGACGGATGATAACTGCCTCCATTTTTCGCCGATTGTCGCCTTCCGCGTGCCCACCGGCCGTTCCTAATTCGCTTAGCGATAGTTCGTTATTTTGCGCTTCTTTCACGATCGCGCGCCCCGGTTTCTCGGCGCGAACGGTGGCCTTTGAATTCAACGTTGTTTGCATTAGTTTTTGTTGTGCGTGTCTTGTCGAACATGTTTGCTGCCTGGGTAGAATCCCTAGCTAGGAATTTCATTGAGATTCCAAATGAAGCCTTTTTTCATGGAGATATGCGTTGGTAGTAGTCATGCTGGTGTGAACTGCTGCTATTGTTTTTCCGTGGGAAACTAATGCAAGTGTATTCAGAAGGTTCCCACATGAATTTAAAAAGAAAGGAATGCTACCCCTTCCATGCAACACTCGGTTGGTAAGTTCCACGCAGTCTTAAAATGTTTTTCTATGCTCATTTCTCTAGCATTTCCTTGGCTTTTTTGCCATGGCAGTATCGAAAAATGCAAGTACTTTCCATTCATGTCGACATTACTTTATATGGTGACATTGTTTCTTTATGTTTGATGGCTGGTTTTTTTCTCTTCATCGCTTATACCTAGTATGTCCGCCCTCTTCCGCCTGCCTTCAATTTGCAAGCTGTTTCCATTTGAATAACCCCTGGCACCCGCAAAACGTTTGTGTGGATTAGGAGTCACCCGGAAAGTGCGAAACAGCTGTCATTCGTAAGCCGATTAGAAAAAGAAGCTATATTGGATCAAATTGCTGCTCGTGTTCCCTCCCACAGCCACTTATCGCCTGTTGAGTCGGCCCACTTCGTCATCCCGGCATGGTGTCGCTTCATCCATCCACGGCTAATCTCCTCTCACATCTGTCATACACACGACTATAGCATTGATTTTTCTGCTTTTCATTTACCTCCAGCGCGTGCCATGAAACTTCTTGTTTCCATATGTGTTCGAATGAAGTGATCGTTGTATAAGTCAGGATTTGCCGAAGTCTCTCAATCTTCAGCCATTCTTCTACGTATTCTGGTGCGTCGCTTTCATATTTCCATATCATCTACGTTGCAATACTCAATGCTTAGACGTTATATGAAAGACTAGTGGGAAATTCAGCCCAAAGAATTGTTGCGCTTAAATAACATCGATTCAGCTTGTGATGTTTTTGACCTCGATTTTCTGAATGGTGTTTGAACAAACGTGCAGGAGCTTTTGATTTTGCTAGGATTGAATGAAACCGGACTTGACTTTTCGCTATCCCATACGAAGTTTGAATTTTGGGAGTCATGGTGGTTATTCTCTTTGCTCCTAACTTTTTTGCCTGAACGCAATCATAAATAGCTCCAGTCCTTTTCGACGTTCTGGCCTTCCTTCTTGTCTCTTTGCCTCAAACTGCTCCATCTTCTAAAGGAGCTGTCATCTCAGTTTTTTATGGGTTTCTCGATGTGCTCGGCATTTCTCGCCCTCTCTTTCGCTTCACTTTTCGCTCACTTTGCACTGCTTTCGAGTTGCTCGTTTTCAGAGGAACCAGGCAGGCCCCGGAGTAAATGAATGTGCCGCCCTACATAATTGCGCAATTAGGTGAGCATTTCATTTCGTTTGCAAACAAATGTCCTCTCGTTTGGAGTAAATGTAATTCTGGTGCATGTGGAGAAGGGTTCACGCAATAATCTATGTATGACTGCTTCATCTATTCTTTTCTCTCCAACTGCTTATGCATGCAATTGGTGAATGCTGCTGCGAGGGCAGAGATTTAGAAAGAAACAGCTGAGTAGGCGCAGAGGAATACGTGCATCTGAATCGCATTTCTTTCGAGCGAATACTTGGATGTTCTCAAGCAAGTTTTTTCTTGTTTCTACGATTCCTACATTTCGGAATAGAGTTAGCATTTTGTCTACTCAATACCTCAAAATCCAGTTGATCACCTCTTCCTCTTCATTTGCTTTTTTGAGCCGACAAGAGCTTTATTCGTAGACAAAAAGTCCATTTCCAAAGATAGAATTTCCAGAAAGCAACGCACTCTTTTTCGCTAGGCCATCGATTTTTGCTGCAGCATATGCAGGGCTTCACTTTTGGCTAAAACGGCATTATGACATCGCTTTGAATACGCATTTCCTCTTCGTTATTGCCCCTCACCTGGTTTTCCTCAATATACGTTTTTTTGGGTACTTTCTTTAGCACATGTCTAGAAAGTTGTCTTTTCAGTAAATGTTCTTCATTTTTCGTGTCAGTGCGGCGTTTTTAGACAAAGCTGTTTATCAAGCTCGAAGAAGCTGCATGCGCTACTTATCTCTAGATGAGCGATGTTATTTGTGTTGATCGTCTCGCCATGCCAAGTAGCTTGTTTAGCCGCTATACCGCGATTTGTTAGAAGCCGCTCATCCGCAAAGAAGTACCCCATGCTGAAGTCAATAACAACGTTTCAGATAGCCACTATTTACTTCACATTTGTAGGAATGAGGCCTCTGTGATGAACAAGTCAAATTTCCTCACTTTTCAGAAAAAGCGAATGACGTTATTCGGCGTCAGTCCGCCGAGTTAGACAGACTACGCTCTAGCGACGTTCAAGTAGAAAACATTGCTTTGCGAACTCAGCTTATGGAGATTGCTCAAGAATACAGGTAGAGCTCATTTTTTCATTTCTGTCGCTCTTTTTGCAATACTTGTGTTTGAGATGCTGAGTATTCCTTATGCTATTTCTGGCGCTAGCCTTAATGCTTCAGATTGCATCGAGAACGAATACTCGATCAGGAGGTGCTCCTGTCGGAATTGAATCATGAAGTAAAAAGCTTAGCACGCGATAAAGACATCTTGCAAGAGCGATGCATCGAACTGGAAAGAAAGTATAAAAAAGCGAAAGCGGCAAGCAAGGAATTTGAAAAGTTAATTGATTTGGTAGGCTAATTGTGCTTTCTATTGGATTAAAAAATTTCTCTATTTTAGGCTGAACCCTGTTCGTCAGGAAATTCTCCATCTTTACTCGAGCGATCTCGCAAGAAGCACACTTCACCGTCAAAGAAACTAGAAGATGAGTGTAGAGATACTGTCCAGGTCAGCATCGGTTATCCTAACTTCACCATACTTGATTTTTGTAGTGGTTTTCGCTCATTTTAATATTGACATCATGTAGATAATCCCATTTTCTTTCGTGGTCTCTTAATCCCGCCTTATTCGAACCAGTTGATTTTTTTGGTTGTAAAGTAATCTACAGATGCTGTTCAGATGTGCTTGGAGAACAAGCAGATAGAGATCGAAGATCTTCGTGCTAGACTTGAAAAAGAAATTAATATATCGAAATCCTTGCATGAAGATCTAGACCTGAGTCGGAAACTAGTAAGTTTTTTTCACTCCTCATCCTCATTACAGGCAATGAAGATTCCAGGTCCTAGAGAGAGATGAGCAATTGAATGAATTGAGTATTAAATTACGAGATGCGGAACTCAAATGTCAACAGGTAGTTAATGCTTCTGCTTTTGTAAAAAAAAATAAGATAGTGCGCATTTAGACTGAAGACCATTTGTCTCGTACCTCCACGGATCTCGCTCTTGAACGAGCTCGTTGCGATGATCTCACACTTTCTTTGCAAGAAAGTGAAACTTTGCTAACACAGGTTAGCTGAATTCACTTTTTTCTCGATGTGTGTTTCATAATACTGCTTAGACTAGATCAGACTGTCTTTCTTATGCTTTGGAAAATCAACGACTGGTTGAAGAGGCACGAGTAGCCAACCAACAACTCGTGTCTTACCGAGCAAAACTGTGAGTTTTACTCCGTTTGTTACTTGTTGGTTTTCATAACAATGTTATTTTGAGTTGGCTTCTCAAATTTTTCGTTTGCGAATTCTTCTCATTGTGCGCAAATACTAATTTTGTTTTTTTTTGTATGGAGAGGCTAACATTTTGAGAGAGAAGTACATGTAGCTTTTTTGTGTTGAGAATCTTCTTATGTTTTTGTAGTACTCTGAGCAGATTATTGGTCCAGATAAATTTGCCTGAAAACATAAAGGAAATAAGATTATGGCCAAGCTTATCAGATCACAGAACTAGTGGAAAAGAATTAGCGTGTTTTCAGTGATGCGCAAGGAGCTGATCTCATTGCAACAAAGAAAACGCTTCGGGCTCTTCAACGGGAAAACGGATTCACGGTGCCTCAAAATACGGGTGTAAATGATGACAGAACACAATAAATGGTTTATCTATATTTCCAAAAAAGTTTCTATAGATCTATGGAAAAAATGAAATCTTATGATTTTCTAGGATGCATTAATAGTGGAAACATTCACAGAGGTATTATGGAGAGACGGGACACAATCACAGTCCCGGGATATCAAACATAATTGGATAACGATATATACAAAACCTTGACCATAATCATCTAGATAATTTACCAAAAATACTAGCTGAGATAAACCTGAAGAGGTTTCTCAATGGAGAAAAGCTTAGCGTGGAAGCAGTGTTTAGTCTCCATTTCATCTCCAGCTTTGTCAGTTTCTTCACGAGGACATCGAATTCAGCCGTTGAGTGTCGCTGAACTCGTCGCAAATGGTTGTCGATCATTGTTGCTAAAATAGGAGCTTCTCCATTTTGCACCAACCAAAACAACAGCAAAAGAAAATTACCAAAAATAATGATGTCCGTAGCAAATGTTGCTTCGTTCTCGCTACTTAGCTTGCAATTGCTCTTCAAATTTAGTAACGTTTCTATGTCATCTTGAAGAGAAGAAATAACTTTTTTCTTAGTATTGGTTTCTCGAAGAAACATGAATAGACCTTTGTAGCGATCTCCTGAAAATCTCTCCAACATATATAGCTGCTTTTCTTTGTAGAAAAAATCTTACCGAAATGAAAAATACTGGGACGACCTACTTCTAGATGGATATTGATGTAGGTTGGATCCTCATAAACGATGCTGGGGCAGTCCAGTGTTGTTGCAGACGATGCTAGAACATCTTTGTTGAAATATTCATTTTGTAAAATGTAGAAAAAAAACGTAGTTCTGAATTTCGGTGTAGCAAGCGTACCCAGGATTTTCGTTCTGGGGGAGGGGGGCGGGGGAGGTGGAGCAAGCGACAAATTCTTTTTAAACAAAGGTGCGCGGCGTTAGCCACGCTCTGCAGATTTGTTTTTTGGATTCCTTCGAGAATTTTCGCGGGCCCAAAACCCCGCATTTTTTTTTTAGAAAAAGGGACATGGCGCAGGGCTCGGCACGAGCTGGCACCAGGGAATTTTCAAAACGAAGTCCCCCTTGATTTTCGCTAAGTTTTACGAAATCCCCCTTGACCCTAAACCCTAAACGTAAAAAAACCCCGAAAAAACGAAACGTCGACTAAGAAAACGTCGCAATTTGTCGACAAAAACGATATCCCCTTTGCTTTTTGTTCCAAAACGATATCCAGCTTGCCCCGTGCCAGCTGATGCCAAGCCCTGACATGGCGGTAGCCACTCCCCCAAAAAAATTTTTATGAGGCTAACTTGAATTTTTAAAAATTGTTCTGATCATTTACTAGTATAAACAAGTCGCACATTTTCATAGCCCCGTAAGTAACCTTCAAATTCGCCACCCATTCTCTGGCGGGAGGGGAGGGGGGGGGGGGGGGAGGGCTCGGTACGCCACTGCGGTATAGTACGATTGTTATATTATTGCATCTCGTTTACATTTATAAAAAAATTATGTATTTCATATGGTAACAGTTATGACTTTAAAGTCGGAATGGTTGAAAGACTGTTAGTCATTTAAGCGGCGATTTGCTAAATCTTCTACAATTTATTTCCTGAATTTGCCATCAATTGAAAATCAGCTGTAAAAGTTGTAAGCCCAGCACTGATGTTTAACTCTGAATCAAATCTCAATAATTTTTTGGCTCTACTATCTGGTGAATTTTCCATCTTGTGCGAATTTACGAATCTATTATGCAAATCTTATGTTCGCTGTCTCACAAAGACAAGAGCGATAATGCCAATTTATTATGCTTCTTTTTCTTCAGCATGGCTAGCCTTGAGAGCTCGTGTAATTGTAAAAAAGAAGACTATGATATGAGTGGCAGAAAAAAATACGAAAGGGGCCCAAATTATCTTCAAAAATCTTTTTAAACATTCTTTTTCAAAAACTTAGACGGTAAAGCATTTTTTGGCTCGGCCACTATTGCAAGACTGACATCGCTTTCTACATCTGTTAGTTTTGTTTTTGTAGATTCAATGTCTAAAGCCTTGTATTGGTGTCCTGATTTAGGAACACGTTATTTTGATGCGAGTACGAAAGGGGAAATGAGAAGCCCTTGAAAACGATTGACTCCATCCAGTTTAAATAGTATAGATAAATCGGCACTGGGCAGATTCTTGGTGAAAGCCGTAATTTATAATATAAAGATAAACATGTACATCAGTAACCTATGGCACTTTGTTCATCATCTGTTTGAGGGATATCTAATTTTCGAATGGGGTCAAAGCAGGGCTCGGCAAGAGGTGACTTCCGAAGAGGCAAAAAACGGTGTCCTCTCTGATTTTCGCAAAACTTTACAAAGTCTCCTTTGACCCAAAATCGAAAACATTCGCTAAAAAGCCTACCCTAACGTTTTTTTTTTCAGACCGTAGAAGCGATATGCTCCTTGCATTGTTCGAAAAAAAACGATATGCAGCTTGCTTATAAGCCACCTCTGCCGAGCCCTGGTCGAGAGCATATTCTATCCGAAAATTTGTTGTACGTAATTCCGAAGATGCTTTTTTGAGAAGAGTAACTAATAGTATGCTTGCGTAAGCATAATGTAAATGAGAGAAAATCCCACTATATTATAAAGAGAATTTTCATCTATTGAAGGGTTCGAGCTAGAATCATTTTATAACCAATTTATAATTTTCGTAAACTCTCTATAGAACTCTCCATATATGGCATCAATCTATATCGCTTTGAATTCGATATTTAGCGCAGAAAGGTGTTTTCTCAAAAGACTGAAAATCAGTTCTGAGTAAGTTTGACAAGATTTTATCTAGTGAATGTCTCTGAGGTGCAAGAATTACTTTCCGGGGGCTGAAGGAGGCTAAAAATCCTGAGATACTTCCCAAATTACTAGCAGCTTAAAATTCTGAATTTTTGGAAGAGAAATTTTTTTCCAAAGCTAGTCTGGTCCTTAAGAAATTCCAAAAATTTTCAACACAAGTAAGCACAAGTCATGTGCACAATCGTTTGTTCATTGGATCAGAAACCTACTTTTTCCTATAAAGAAAAGCTCATTATTTGTTTACATCTAGCCCTTTCAAAAAAATCAGAAGATAATGTCAAAATAACCGAATTTTCGGCCGGCTAAATTCCTTTGTAATCTTATCTCAAATCCCCAATCTATCGTATCTCAAATACCCGTTTCATCTCTACTATCTCAGGAAATTGCACAAGATATCCTCCGATCTGTTTGACATAGTGGAGATCATACTTTGATGATTTGATAAGGGTGGATTAGTTGGTGGTTTTTATAAGGATATGCAACAGATATTCGTGCTACTTCGAAAAAAAAACATTATTGATGCATAGTAAATTGGTCAAAATCATTTTTGATCTCCTACATCGACCTAATGTTACGATATAAGTTAGCTTGACCCTAATGCCAGCCAAGAAAATAAAAGAGGGTCACTACCTACTGAACTACTCTATGCACGCTAAAATGTCATATTTTAGTTTTTCGCTGTTCAATGATGCATAACTAAGATTTATTGCTGAAAATCCGAAAATTCGGTTCAATTCTCCTCCGCTCCTCCTCTTCATCAAAAAAAAGTCAATATCGCAATGGTTTGCTGCAACTATCAACTTTGCCGTTGCTAAGTTAGTATGATTTCTATCAGAATAAATTTTGCTATGCTCGCCTTCATCAACAAGACTTCCAACCAATCTCTCGCTATAATAGTCACTAAATACAGTAGTATGCGAATCGTCCATGTAAGACCATGTGTCGTGTATTGCAGAATATTCCATAACTGATACAGGTGGTGGAATTTGCATCTAAATTTTGGAGAGATAAATCATCATAGAATTTTCAAAAAGAAGAAAGAAAAGAAGAGCAAGGAGAGCCCATGTCGGCCAAGCAAAGTGCGGTTCACCTCGAGATAATTGTGGTCGTCCGCTCATCCATTATGGGTCACCTGGCCGTCGCCTAATGTTGCCAGAGGGCTTTCGGTTGACGTCGTCTTTCAAGGTGATCACAGGATATGCCGAAGAAGGTATCGGTAAAGTATCGGTAAGGTTCTTCCAAAAAATCGTCACCAAAATTTAAAAATCGTCTCCTTCGTTTCCATCGAATTCGTTTGCTTTAATATATTAGGTCGATGCAAAAGTTCTTGCGTAATTCAAACAAACTTCAATAATCCCTAAAGTGGCAAGTTTCAATCTCGCATGAAGACGCAAAAAATACTCGCCGAAATGTCATTCTATATTTGAAAAAAATTCCCTTATTGCTGCAGTTTTTCAGCAAAAACACCATGTGGCACTCAAAAAGAGTCACAATTTTCTGTATAAGCACTAGGTTGCTTTCTGTCCCAAACCGTATTCCTGTTTAGTAAGTGGAATGTGTGGATTTTTTATGCCTGAAATTTTTTGAATTTTGTTTTTGCGTTTTATGCGAGATGAGAAATGCCCAATAAGGTATCGACCACTGTTATGCAAGTTTAGTTACAGAAAATCTTAAAGATTGTTTGGGGCTATCTGGAGCCTTCCGCAATTCTTAGCAAACTCAAAATTGCAAATTTGAAAGTTCAAGTTTGAATGCTTTGTTCGGTTACCAGCTCATAGAAAGTTCAGCTTCAACATCTGTCGTGGAGCACAAATCTTCATCATTTTTACAAAATGAACTGGAATTTAGGTTTAGAACTAAGAAAATTATTGAATTTTGTTTGAATTACCCAGAACTTCTTCATCAACAATGCATATTTGAAGAAAGATTTCATGCTCTTGCTAGCAGCGATCACAGCAAAAAGCATTGCTGACATACGGATATATGATAAAGAAATATGTGGATCATATTTGTTGAAATTTTGGTTCCCTTTTCGGCTGAATTGTGCTGATCAGATGTTTCGAAAATTTGTTCGGGTTTCCGTGTTTTTACAACTCCGTTGTTTTGATAACAGTGCTTCATATTTGAGATAAGATGTAATGTTCAGAAAGCATAATATAATAATTTAGTATAAATTAAAGCGTATACATTTTGTTATTTTTTTCTCACAGCAAAGTATGTTCAAGAGTTCTCCAAGGGGTTAAATCTTGTGGATCCAACAAGTCATTACCGCATAAGAAGTCGATAACTATTGATAACGTGTGGATGAAGTTGAGGTTATGTTAAGTTGGTGCAAAGATAAGTGCTACTTTCCAAAATATCCACATTTTTCATTTAATAAGGACCATCAGAAGGAGCAATTTTTTTGCCATCGCCCACATCCACCTATACTCACACCACAAAAGGGCAAAAAATGATTCGAAAACAAAACTTTCTTTTCTAAAATCTTCTCATATTTGAAAAATTAACTCCCTTCAAAGAGGTTATCTGAAGCTCTGTAATATATCAACAAATGAAGCTAAAAACCCGTTTCAATCATTAGATAGATCATGAAAAGAACTCTCACTATGCTAAATCTATTCCAAAGAAGAAAGTTTGATGGAAAAGTTGTGCTGAAACAAGGCTCAGTAAAGAGCTCGTTAATTTTTTACTAACTCAATACAACTACTTCTTATGTTTTTCAGTATTTTAAACCTCTACAAAGCAGTTGGAGCGTTACATTTCAATTCATGCTCTACCGATTTGTTTTAGACATTGCCTCGGTGGGTTGACTTTTTTGCTTCTGTTCATAATAGGGAAAATCTGCCAAAGTGTTTATCCAGTTTTTACACGGTCAGAAGTATAAATTTATTCATTGTAAGTAGAGCAAAAGCGCTGTCAATGAAAATATCACAGACTAAACCGTACAAGAAGAGGTGAGAACGTAACAACCCATGAAGCAAAATGTGTACAGTAAATAGGAATGCTTAGCACATTAAGCGAATAGAACCCTGACTTGATCCCACAAGATATGCGTTATTTAGAGGTAAGTAGCAGATTGAAGAAGGACTACCAGATTGATTATCTAGTTTGATTTTGGCTTCCAGTAGTGTGTCAGCTCCACCGTAAACCCTGCAAGATCCTTTTCTGCTAGAAGCATCAGTTTCTTTGAAGCTAAATTTAGACTCACCTGAGGACACTACCGCCCTGAAGCGTCACGAGCTTGTCATCACTGACAAATGCGCTCGTGACAGTGTCGGCAAATTTACGAACGGTACATATTCGCGGGTTGGCGGAAAAGATGGTCCCAGGTTCGTCAGCATCACACACAAGGAAATCTGTCTCGGTTAGCCATTTTACCTAGAAAAAAACTTTCTGACAGAACGAATTAAACCGATCAAAATTGTACCTACCGCAGTAGTATGTGTATTATTTCCATGAGAAAGAGATGTTAATCTACCGGTTCGAGCATCAAGAACTACCAAAGTCCCGTTTGATAAAGCAACAACCATTTTACGACCTTAAGACAATAGAATTTGAATGCCATGACCTCTCATCAAATATCCCTACCAGAATCTCGTACAGAAAATGCCCTGGTAAGGCCGGGTAAGTTTGACACTTTTAGTTCGCTGGTCCAGCCACCCGTTCGTGTGTCTAGTAATCTAGAATGAGATTTTCTGGGTTGCCAAGAGTAAAAAATGAGGACTGACCGAACGGTTGAGTGAAGACTGGAGATAGCTGCCATTGAATGTCGATCCACATGGGCTAGTCCAGAGATAGTTGGTTCAGAATCCCAGTCTAGTTGGGCAATAATTGCACCTCGAAATGGATCCCATACCTCAAATACGACAGAATAAAAACATTCAAAAAGCACTTCATTCTCCTCCCCTCCGCGGTCTCTAACTGTTGCGTTCCCAACGGTCACGTATTGATCAAGTTATGGCTAAGTTAAATTATAGATATTCAAAATATTCCTTTTTTTAATGTTCTCGAATTGAGCGTATAAAAAGCTTCTGAGCTTTCAACTGGTACAAAAAGTTTGCTCTCTATACACTTACATGGAGAATCCCGTCAGTCGATGCGATGAGATTATTGGCCAGAAGAGCCACGTCCTGAATGGAACGCTGATGTCTACTGTATGTCTGCTGTGCCTCGACTGCGTCTAGCTCAGGTTTGATAGACCAAAGCCTGGAAGATATATATCCGGCTAGCAAAGCGAGGATCAAGCATGGGCTTACTTGACAGTTTTGTCGGAAGATGCGGAGATAAATGAATTTTCGTTCGAAAGTGCGACAATTCGGCGGACGGTTGAGCCGTGGCCATTGAATGTGCACAACGAGAGATGATCAAAGCGTAGAGCAGTTCTGAAAAAACGGGGAGCATACTTTCATAGATAACAAAAATAGGCGCAACAAAAAGACTGGAGGGAGAAGTAAAGTCTTCAAATTCAAAATAAATGGGAGGTTTTTTTCCAGATAATTCTCGGAAACAGAATGCTAATTATCATGATAAGAAAGGATAGGGAACTATATGTCGCCAAAAGGAGTGGTCTCACGCGGGCAACTGCGACAGACACGTACCAGTTGTGCGCGCGCAGTGGAGCCCATCGGCGACATAAATCCCTACTCCGATAACGAAATTCTTGCGCAACTCGAATGAAAGTCAACAACATTTTAGATCGTTGACCCAAATTCAATTTTTATTACATTTGATGAAAACTAGCACTTTACGACAACGAACCAAACAGTTTTTGTTGGCAGCTTCGAAGAACAAAGCTTCGAAATACGGCACTTCAAAATTTGTTATTCCGAGTGTGGTACCACAATTCCTAAAGTAGCTAGCTAGATCCGAAAAACTGTGGTTTTTTTCATAACTGAAGATCATTACATTGCTGGAAGCTTGGATAGAAGTACAAATAAAAAATTAGCAAAGAATGTCTACAAAAATGCTTATCGACCCGCAACCATTTTGGGGAGCTTCTTAAAAGAATTTTCACAGTGCTTGGCTAACGCCAGCACCTTCATTCGCATAACAGATCCCTCCCACCCCCCTCCCCCCAGACCAAAAGTAGTCCTCATCCAAGAAGCTTCGAAATAGCATAAAATGACGCTGACCTTCCTTCAGCTGTACATACAGCAGCAGATATTCGGGCACACCAGAGAGCACTCAACGAAGTTGATTCACATAGTCTGCAATAAACCAAAGAAGTTCATAGAACGACCATCAGTGAAAGCTCTATTTTTGTCACATATGTTATAGGCTTTTTGAGAACTAAAGGATAAAAGATAACACAGCAGTGACCTCTTAACCTTGTCAAGAAGCTGCTTAGTCTTTATGGATTCAATTCTGAAAAAGATGATGTCAGCGGGTGAACTCATAGAAACAAAATACTTTCACACAGACTTACGTTCATTTCATCAAAAGGTCAACCTAAAGGAATAAGTTTTTTGGGATGGAAAGCAATACAAGCAGGCGATAACAGAATTTTTCTGACTAAAGTTCTAAGACATTACTCTAGTATCTTGTAGATGAGTCTGCTTTTTCAAGACAGGGCTCGGCTCGGCACGAGGTGGCTTCCGGAAAATGCAAACGAAGTCCCCCTTGACTTTCGCAAAATTCTATGAAGTCCCTTTTGACCCTAAACCATGAACGTAAAAAAAACGAAATGTCGAATAAAAAGTCACAAAAGCTGTGTTTTTCCGGCCACATAAACGATATCGCCTATGCCTTTTGTTCCAAAAACGACACCCAGTTTGCTTATAAGCCACCTGTGCCGAGACCTGTTTCCATAGCTTGGATTCCTTGATTTTGTAGTTTTTGCAAGACTGCAAGAAGAGCGCTTATCACTTGAAATCTCTCAAAAGGTTCTTTTAAGCAGTGTAAAAATTGTTGGTAAATCCAGATCTTCTTTTGGTTCAGAAATTGACCTCGGCCTCAAAACACTGCTGAAATTACACTTCTTTCTCGAACCCTTTCTTGGTTATATTACATACTGAAAGAGCTCTTTAGGAACTCGCATGTTACAGTCAAGCCCTACGTTCTTGCAGTTTTACGAAAACAAGTGAATTTTGCAGTTGAAAACTCAAGCTTTCGGGAGAATCACTACAAAATTATAGGGCAATACTCTCAGGAAGTCCAAAACCTTACCCGACTCCACCGATGCTGGAGAGGCTTGAGTGCGATGGTGGGGATGACAAGGATAGCAGTCGATTACCCGAAGGGAAGCTGTTCAACTGATAAACCGATGTCATTCGCAAAGGTGAGGATGGAGAACTTGCCACTATAAAAGTTCCCGATAGTTTTGTGGAATACGGGTGGGTAGTGGACCAAAAGTTTCTCTACCTTGAGAGCTAACAAAGGGAACGAGAAAAGCTGGATCTGAGCAGAAAGAAGACAGCAGTGGTACACCCCAAGAGCTTGCAAACCTGTCTATAACAGAGGAGACAAACCAAAGTGGAATGAAAGCAATTGCCTGAAATTGATCAACGATAGTGAAAAAAATCAGGGCTTATGGAAAATAATGTGTGGCGAAGAAAATTCGTGGTAGTCGAGTTTCCGATTCTCACCTCATCAGCTTTCAATTTTTTTGGAGATATTCTCAACTGCTCATCTGCTTCGTATAATTTCCCAAAAGTCTCGAACATCAGTTCAAATGGCTTTCTGGCATACATTCTCGTATTTTCAAGACCTATCCGCATTGAGATGTTATACAACAATGACACAGCCTAAAAACTACAGATCTTGGTAAAATTATCGGAAAAAATTTTTGTCCAAACCCCAGCAGCGACGATAGTTCTGGAGCGGTTGTCATAAAAAGAGGAATTGGCATTGAATGTCAGTTGCAGCGCTCGAACAATTATCTTATCCACGATGTAGTCCTAAAGCTCTGGTACGTTGAAATAATTGAATTTTATTCAAATATTTTTGCTCAGTACCTCAAGATAGTTCATTAACTGATGATCCGTCATTGACTTGGCGCTAAGTCTAGCAATTCGAAACGCTGCCAACAGACCTGCCTCAATGGGTGGAGTAAGCCGTTTCATGGCCTGTTCCACTATATCAACACAAAATGGTAAATATTGAACCTAAAATAACTTGTCAGAGACCTCAAAATTCAAAAAAAAATACTCATAAACTCACAGTCACAAAAGTAACACTGTAAGTGGCAGCAATCTCCGTTAAACAAGCCTCAACTCTCGCGCCACATTCATCTCCAATTAGTGGAAGAGTGAATACAGACTGAAGAATAGAATTTTCTCGACAGTGTTCGATTGGCTATTGATACTTTATCAAGGCACACCTGAGGTTCTTGGTTAGTTCCCATTAGTGCCATACCCGTATAACAGGAACCCAGAACCCGCAATAGGTTAGCCGTAATGAATCGGGCACTTATTACAGGTCCATATCTTTTGGAAAGCCTAAACATTAGGGTACGACTTCAATCTTACGTTAAGTTGTTACATAAGTATTTTACACTTAAGAGAAATTTTCATACGTTCTTCCCAATTTTTCTTCGTTTCCAATTTTTGAAAGATCATGGATTTTCGATTCATACTACATGTCACATATGTAAAGTCCTTTTAAAATTTTTGGAGTTTTTCGAATTATTTCTGGCAATTGAACCTCTGAACTTCCTTGGTATTACTAATCATGCTCTCGGAAGCCCATAAAAAATCTACGAAGATCAAAAAAGTGGCGGAAGAATTTTTACAAAATAAAGAAAATACTGGAGCCTAAAGTGACGCTAAATTGTCTTTACATTTGTTGCAGTTCAGGTCCATAAAGGTAATGCTGAATAATGATAAATAGGTCTTTGTCCCTTTCTCATGAATGCCAAATATGAGACTTACAATTTGTCGAATTCTCTAAAGTTTTCTGGAGAAAGACGAAGAAAATGTAATAAAAGTTATGTAACAACCTAATAAAAGCACTGATGTTAAAATAAGCTCTCACACTTTGATCATAATTTTGCATTATTTGATGTTGAAGTATTTTTCTCAAAAGTGACCAAAAGCTTGAACATTCGAACCAGCAGTATACTAACCAAACTACGCTCTCCTTAGCTACCATGCTTCGATCTATCTGAAGTGATGCAACGGCTTCAATGACTGTGGGTAGAAACTCCTTCAAAAATCTTGAAGTGCCATAAGCGATAGAGGCTGGTAACAAGAAGCGACGATCTAGCAGCTGGAATATGATGATTCTATTAACGATGAAAGTGTCACTGGAAATACACGCTTCACCTTGATAGATGAATCGCAAGCAAGAAGCTTGACGAGTGGTCTCAAGATTTGATCGAATGACTGATTGTCAAATGTTCTACAGATGACAATGAAGAGACGATGGACCTGTAAAGAATTTGCTTAATCTCACGACCAGGGCTCGGCACAGCTGGCACCGGGTCAAGCTGGATATCGTTTTTGCGACAAAAAGCAAAGTGGATATCGCTTTTGTGGGAGAAAAGAAACAAAAATTGCGACGTTTTTTAGTTGGCGTTACGTTTTTTCAAGTTTTTTTACGTTCAAGGTGTAGGGTCGAAGGGTCGTACGAAATTCCAAAGGGGACTTCATTTTGATATTACACTGGTGCCACCTCGTGTCGAGCCCTGCTCACGACCCCCACTTGCTTGCCCACGATGCAAAAGGGTCTTGTTCCCCTCTCAGTCAAGATGCAGACTATCTACTCATTCCAAATTTTGAGATCCAACTTCGCTTGTCCCCTCCCCCTCAACCCCAAGACTGAAGCAGGTGCATAGATAAAACGGGTGTGTTCTACTGCACATTGTTGATAGTGATACAAGGATAGAAGTTTGAAGCTAAAAGGGTTTTTAGAAGTTCACATCCATATGGTAATCTCGGAATAAACAACACGAGCTTGGCTACACTCAACAACAACAGCGTATTCAGAATGGATTCAGGGGATGGTTTACTTTTTACAGTACCTTCAGATTCTTGTACTGTTAGCGGAAGAAAAGGGAAATAGTATACGGAAGCGCGAGGGGATGGGACAGCGAAATGGATTTTCAGTGGAATTCCAAATTTTGAGAGATGTGGTGTAAATTGCGTCCAGGTTTTTCAAAAATTCTGAGTCAATATGTATGCTAGGTGGTGTTTGTCTGCTTTATTTGCTTGAAGCACGACAGTATCTGAGAAAAAACGATTATTATCACCATCAACGAAAAATGGCTAAACACAAAACAACAGCCTGCTAAATTGAAAACGGTCAAGAGGCGCGTTTTTCCAAAGGTCATCAATCGAACAGCTCAGTACAGAACTACGCAAGTCTTTCAAAAGTTCCAAACAAGGTTTCTAATTCGCCAGCTATCTGTAGTTACCACCAGCTGCATTGGGAGGCTTTTGGTGAAAAATTGACCGACATATTTGCAAACGCTTTAGTTGCATTTTCACGGTTTTTTGACCTCCTTATTTCAAAACATTAGGTTAAACAGCCGATGCAACGCTTTCCTTCATTTCTTAAAAAATTTTAAGGGCTTAAAACTCTTAAAACTTGTTAAACGCCAATGCGCTGTGTGGTGATTATCTGGCAATAAAAACTGCGCTTCTTGACATACACCTCTGCTAGATCATTGTCACCTACCGCCTGCACAGCGGATTCCTTGTCTGCAATCATACGTTCGAATAATCGAACCGAGGAGTTCTCCATCACACAACTTTCCATTGCATTCTTGAGCGCATCGATCTCACGTAACAGCACCTCTTGGAGTCGTATCTCTGAATAAACGGTCTACACAGCATTCGAGGAAGCACTTTGGCTTGAAATGCGGACTCACCATTGCCCTGGACTACGATAGATTTCCTGAGAAGATGGAATGAATAATAGTGGGAGATCGTGTCATGAAAATCAATAATCTGGAGACTTCGTAAAATGAATGGCGATGGGGTGGAAAAACAAAAAGAAAGCCACCTCCATAGGAATTTCGAGAGCATGAAGAAGATAAAAGGGGATTCTTTTGGAGTTGGTAAACTCAGCGCAGCCATTTACGATCTCATTGACAAGCTCCGACCAAGAGCTGAAATGCTTATTTACTAAGGGGCAGATGAAACCCGCTGTATTCAAAAATAAGTTAAACTGTACCTTGGTAAGTCGAAGGAGTTCTCAATGAATCGTTTGTTGTTTGCATCAAACTCCTGCAGCGGTATGAATCTCAAAAAGTGACCTCGAAATCGAAATAAGGTGTGCACAAATGAGAGGAACATTTCTTCAGCAGGTGTTTTGAATTTCAGCTCCTAAAAATCTGGACTTGGTCTATAGGGCTTCTCCTCAGACAACACACCTTCATTTTTCTTTGATAGATTTCCAACAGAGATTCCGGTTCGTTATCGGATTTTCCGGAAACTTCGGCAGAAAAATCTGAATGAAATAATTTAGCAGAAAAGTTGTTGAAATTTCGATAAACAAGAAGATTCGTCCCTAATTTTTTGAAGGATTTTTGATATTTTGGACACTAAAATGTGTTATAAAAAATTGTGATCAAATGTTAATGTTGTCTCTATCAACAGATACTAACGGAATGCTCTAGTCTACTAACCTTTCAGTTCAAAACCGCGGCTGTCTAAATCCACAAGTGGATTACCGCTTGTTCCTCGAAGTCGCTTCGGATGAGGACGATGAAATAGTTGCACCTAAATTTTGCACTTGTAAATATTTTTCACTTGATGGATCCCGATTCACCACTCCATTGGTGCGCAACCGGTGAGTTTTCGGCTCCGAAAAGCACATATGCACATTGAGACTGTCGATCGCCATGTCACCAGATAACTGTAATTACTTATTTTAGTTCCATATCCTTTGTTTTAAAAATCTTCTTCGTTCCAACAAAATATTCTTGGAGTCTTTCTATTTGACGGAGCCCACGCTCCAAGGCACATAGAGGAAAAGTTAAATTACAAAAAATTTACAGTCGCAAAGGCATCATATGAAGCCAGGGCTCGGCACAGGTGGCTCATAAGCAAGCTGGATATCGTTTTTGGGACAAAAAGCAAAGGTTCGTTTTTGTGGCCGAAAAGACACAAAATTTGCGACTTTTTTAGTCGATGTTTCCTTTTTTATGGAGAATTTTTAGGGATTATGGTCTAGGGTTAAAGGGGACTTCGTAAAAATTCGCAAAAGTCAAGGGGGACTTCGTTTTTTGCATTTTCAACTAGCCACCTCGTGCCGAGCCCTGTATGGAGCACGTATTCCATAACTTGTTGCTTACAGTGTGTCCAAAATTGAGGTCAATCCACTTATGAAGATGTCGCGACACCTCATCACTTTCCAGCATTTCCATGTGCCATTTAATGAACTCCTCTGGGGACGCCACAAACGATGGAAGCTCCAAATCAGGCATGTCTGCATGCTTTGACACTGAAATGAAATTTCTAAATGATCTAGAATTTCCACATTGATAGAGCTTGCCCAAAACTGAAGGATCGTCATAGAATTCGGGAATGCACTCATCTGGTGTCCACTCATACATTCGGACCATACTTGCTGGATATTCTTCAGGCACCCACTGGAAAAAAGTCTAGTTCAGAGTTTTCTAAGAAACTTTAAGAAAAAAAAACGAACATTGCTGCGAACATGCTTGCAGAGATTAGCTTTCGACTCCACTCTAGCTTTGTACACCATGTAGCCAATATCGGACAAGACTTCAGGAATATGATGTGATAGATGCTGATAATTTTGCCTAAAATACTTTATATGGGCATGTTGGACAGCGACTAAAAATTCTGACCAACCCTAACTGATCATCTCCTTTCGTTAGACGGTATTTTGTTTTTGATAGGTCGCGCCATCCACCGTCCCTCTGTTTGAAATCGCAAACCCAAGGAAATATCGGATGATTATGCACTGAATGGAAAAATATTGATTATGGGCCTTTTTAGTTCATTTTTCCGTAAGGTAAACCGACGCACCGTCTCCTCTGACCCGACCTGCAGCTTTGTTCAGGACCATTATGTAATCGTAATTCGACATGGTTCCATTGACCCAGCTTGAAGTTGTGGGACTAAAGGAGATACAATTTAAAAAAAAGCAAAACAGAAGTCAAAAGATGAAGCGTAAAAAGGTAACTGGCGAATAAGATGCCCAATGAAATGAAAAATGTCATAATCCCAGTATTTTCGTGGAGGAAATAATTTCTAGGAAAAATAATTTCATTGTTCTTCGGGATTTTTGTGTTGGTTGATGATCTGTACTCATTCTGAAAAGTTACCTTTGATATTCAAAGTCCTCGAAAGGATATTCATCGTAACTACTTCCAAATGGATCACACAGCAACCAGAACACATTGTCGCAAAGAAACAATGGATCCTTTACATAAAATCGCAAACGATCCAGTTGAAAGTATACGTCAGCAATGGATGCCACGACGAAGTTGTGAACCTGAATCAAAAAAGGTTTCACTTACCCAAAGGGGATGTTCATACACATCTGGACACCGAATTGTCATGAGTTTATCTACGTAAGTCTTTCTTTAACAGTAAGCCATGCATAAGAACAAAACACCTGGTTCATCAGTGGCCAAACAACTTCAATTCTGATCTTTCGCCCGGTTCTGTAATTAATGGCTCTGACTGGGTCTCAAATGATTACGGTATGGGCAAAAGTTCAAAACTGAATTGTTAAACCGCGAGCGTAACGAGGTGCTTAGGTAATGGATTAGTTAAGACTCCTTAATCGGTTTTCAAATAAGAAGCCCAATCACTCAGATTTACCTGGACATCGCCAAGAAAACACCCGCTCAGCCTTACCTGTGAATACTGCTCGATGTTAGCATAAGGATATCGCAAAACGACATTCAGATCCACCCAATCAGAACTCAGTTCATCATAGACAATGACCAGTTGTTTGTCGCAATAAATGATAGCAATAATGGGGACGATATGAGGGATAATTCGGAAAGGGCGGAACTCTGCTTCGGCAATCACCTGAAAATTTTTATGTCGTAAAATTACATATAATTAAAGGAGAAATTAGCACTCACATCTCCCTCTGTCCTACAGTAAGAAACGCCAAACCTGTCAGCAACGTCCTTCCAGTAATTCGACGAAGAACGGTCGCCATGCCTGAAAAACAACTGCTAGTTAAGTGAAGAAAAAAATGCCGACTTACGTCAATAACGGAAATTGTTCGTCTTCTGGATCCACCCTACGGCATATGATGTTTGTTGATAGAATCTGTTTTTTGGCAATCCCGTTAATCCCCTCCTTCAAGAAGGAGAGAACTGTTGGAATCAAAACATCTCTGAAGGTGTTTTCATCCCATACGGGTTGTTTCATAAAGTCCTATAATTATTGGATATGCAATCATGTAGGCTATCTGAGCAAGGGAATCGAAGATTTTTATATTGTGCGCTGATAGAAGGATTCATGGGAGTGAGTTCATGGTTTTTGAGGAGAATTTGGCAATGCCAAGTGATTTTATGGCCACATCAAACTCCCAAGGTTCAATATCAGTACAGGGAATAATTTCAGGCCCAGAGAAGTGAGATGTCGCACCAAGACATTGCCGAGAATTCTTTATTTGAAAAGTGCAGCCTGAATCGATTCTTAAGGACTCAGCCAAATTTGGAAAGTTCGCAATCAGTGCAGCAGCGGCTCGATTTCATGCTGTACAATCTGGCTCTTCTATTTACTGGAAGAGCGAAATATGGAAGAGAAATGCAGACCTACAGGATGCATAGAGGAGCTGCCTTTGTCTTATTACACGAAAAAAAAGACTCGAAATCACATGAATGATGATTTTAGCTTTGCTTAAACTCATTTAGATAACACAACGAATGATTTTTCAAAACCTAGTTTCAGGGATTAAAAATAAATCGAACAGTGAAGGTGCTAAATAAAAAGCATCCCCGTTTCTCTCCTACTTCTCCAAGAAACCTGATGTTATTTGTTTCAATCGACTTGACTGAGAAGTTCCCCCCCCCCATGCCACTTTGCAAAGTTAAGAGAACAGTAATGAAGGTTTTGCGACGCGTTGCTATGAAGTGTCACTTTAGCGAAATCAGGACACATAAAATGGCGACGGGCTCAGAAATACAAAAGCGTTGATACGATCTCGACGAATTTTCTAATTATGGATACCTTGTGCGATGCCATTCGCTATCTGTATGTCCGCGAAATAATGAATCAAAAAAAGTCGCAGCTTCCTCAAAAAATTTATCGTCCTTTATCGGTTTACTTCGATCTAAAGTCAAGACGAAATTTTGTCGTTTTATTCAAGTCGGATGATAGTCAAATTCTCGCAATTCTTCTCCGACTAAAAGCTGTACGTCGGTCGCAAATAGTATGGCAAAGAAGCAAGTTTGACATAACTATGTATGAGTCGAAGGATACGAAACAAAAGGCTGAAGATTTAAAGCGTTTAACATTTAACGACTGTGTTGCCTCAGATTATGTGATGGAAAGTAAAAGAAACCAATACGTATTTGATTGACGTGCGATATAGACTAAATGGGACAAACACAATTTTAATAAATTTGTCCACCAGAAATCAATCGGAATGAAAACCGTAATAGAGCAATTAAGGCTATGTAGGTATGAGGTACAGAGTTAGACATCCAAAAGCTCGACTCTAACTGATGAGGAGTAGGAGTGTCATGTAGTTTTAATGAATGTTGGGTAATGGACAAAAAAGATCAGCTTCAATGGAGAGTCAACAAGGAAGCTTGTTCTTGTACATGCTAGAAAAAACATTACAGCAAAAATCCCTTTCTTGTCAATCACTAAATTCATGCAAGGAGGAAGTGCACTGAAGTTTGATAAATCGTATAGTTATAGCAAGAAATTGTACATTTTTGAGTCCCAAGGCTAAGAAGTACTTTTGCTGTTTTATTCGTAGTGTGGCAATGGATCGTGGTACCCCTACACTATTATTGTTTCCAAGTATGATAGAAAGTGCATAATCGCTACATTTAGTCAAAATCCTTGATCACAAAATGCATAGTAGCCTACACTGTTATAACCCCAGAAACGGCTCCATTTTAGGAAAAAATTAAGGAAATTGAACTACATTGAGCTTTTGAGGCGATCTTTAGCATATCCAGGTTTCTACGCGAAAACTCATTGAGAGGCCTTGAATAGATCGGTCCAAGCGTTGAAGATTCATTCATGGCCAAGAAAATCAAAACTTTGCGCATACTCGTCCAGGTGGACCAATCCCGCCCCTAGGTACGGTATTGGGAAAGGAATAAATTGTTTTTTTTTATCCGCTAATGAATTTTATGTAATGTCATTTGGGCAGCGCATGTAAGGTCTTATAAGATGTCTATCCAGAAATACTGCAAGCAGTATTTGGAGTCAAAACAAGCTGATTTATGGTACGAACCCGGATTGGGACGATTGACTATAGAACTGGGCGCAAATATGAACTGATTCCCCTTTAGAAATCCTTGCGAATTCTAACAATAACAGCGGTAACTGAAACATTAGGGAGGAAATTGATAACAACTGACAGATCCGGAAAACGAGATCTGCACATGCAATAATAATACAAATGTCAAATTGGTCATAAAAGGAAAGTGAAAACTTGAACAGAAGAAAGTCAACCAAACTTTCAACACTGCGGGCGTGTAGAAAGGAAGAGTTGCACTCTGTCAAAATTGAACACTGAAAATTGCGTAAACTGGTTATATTGGAGGAAATGGAAACGAAAAAAGCAATAAAAACACCCTCAATTACGAACTGTAATCCGAGCACGCTCTGATAAAGCGATTTCGCACCAATAGCAAAAAAAGATTTGCAAGAGTTGATAGATATTGGAAATTTGTGACAAAACATTTTGCCACATAAGAGCACAATGATTTCAAATAAACACCAAAAATGTTGTTATTGCTCCTTTCAAATCTATTGAAGCAAGGTCAACCCAAAAGTTCAGATAAACACACAAAAGTTGTGCATGACTCTCAATGATTTTGCAGCAATTCATTTTTCGCTTTTGAACAATTAGGCCCGCGAAACAGAGGCACTTTGTCGAACGATTTTGAAAAACTGGTTCCGCAAGAGGACTTTCACGTAAGGAAGCGTCACAATATAAAACGCCTTATTGCAACTCTGGCTGACAACTTGTGACCGCTCTCATGCAGGCATGATAAAGACATTACGGACTTTCGTGAGTTTCATTGTTCTCACCAAAGCAGCATCAACCCTAAATTTTAGGCTTCCACGATTTTGCCACTCTGGGCCCTTCCCGTAACCCTGGTTACGGTTATGTAGTGCAAAATGTGCAAAACCCCCAAAAAACCCGATTTTTGAGGAGCCTGTCAAAGGCGAGAACGACTTTCGGTCTTTGGAAGGGCGGAGCTTAATAGGGTAGGAGTGGCTTGATAGCACTTTCGCGGATCCCAGGTCCAAATTCTTCATACAGAGGCCACATTGGAGGACCGGACCAATGCGGATGCCCCCCCCCCCCTCTTGAGGCCTTTTTAGAATAGGTACTAATCGTGGTAGCATAGATTTTGCCTGGACAACCCCTTCAGCTCGCATGTTTTCGTAGGAGTTTTGATTCCGAGCGTCAAAAAAAAGAACACTATTCCAATTTACGCAGAAATAGTGTTCTTATTATTAGTCCATCGAGATTTTTCTTATAACCCTGTGATTACGATCTCTAGGTGTTACGATAGGTTTACATTTCAACTTTTCACCAAAGCCTGAGAAAGTGCAAGAGCCTGCACATTCATATTCAAAAAAGGAAAATACTTGTCAGAAAAGGAAAATTTAAGAAGAACCACATTTCCAATATTTGAAGATTAATCGCCAAACATGGAAGTCTTCGAATGGTATCCAGTCTCAAAAGAAAGCTTTGAAAATACTTGCGACATCGAGCCGTAAGAAGTTCTGGGAAGAATTGCATGTTTGTAAAATTATATGAGATGAAGTATAGACACATACATTGGAAATGCATTCACTCCTACAGTACAATTTCTAGAAGTTGTATTTGCTTCCTACCGCCATACTTGATCCGCTTGATCCGCTTCATCATTGGTCAATTCAGTGAACTGACCAATAGTGAAGTGGATGAAGCGGATCAAGCGAACAACCGCTTCGCTATTGCTCAATCCACTGAATCGACCAATGACGAAGCGGATTAAGCGGATCAAGTGGATTAAGCGGATCAAGTATGGCGGGTGCCTTTCCTTGAGGAGCTTCCCGAAGATTATATTTCCCCCATCCTTGCACACTTAGAATAGACAAATAACTATCAAAAAAGCTTCAAATGTTTGGTTTGCTTATGACATCTCTCAAGTTGGGATTTGTGCCCGCTGCGGATAGCACAGTACGCAACTGCACACAAACCAGAATTAAACACTCGACTTTCAACAAGACCAGGTTGGTTGTGAATCATTTGGGCTCAACCTTATTAATGCAGTGACTCATTAGAGCAATTACTTCCTGGAACAACGTCCAGCAACAATTAAGCTCGCGCACCTGCACAAGATGAATACGAGCAGCGCAAACTTGCAGACTAAAGCTTTGGGATTTTTGCGAACACACAGTGCCGAACTGGAAGATCAATGATTATACTTTAGTGGACGAAGTGAACGGAACATCTGGGGAGTTCGAGGAAAACTCGGGTGGTCGGAGGTGATCCAGGGTGAGAGCGCAGGTGGGCGAAGTCGGCGCGAGACGAAGAGAGGGCTGAGCGCAAAGAAGCGAGAGCGGCGGTCAGAGACGGAGAGCAGGCTGTCAGGGACGCCGTTTTCGCGTGCCTTCGCTCCGGTGGTGTTTAGGCTTCCTTTTGAGTTTCTGTTATGTGGGTCTTGTTCTCGTGTCTTCCATTCCCTCTTCAGAGCTCAGCAAAGTCCCTGCATGCGAAAATTCCGTAAAAGTTGTCGTGAAATGCCTGCCTCATGAGGCACGCTATTAACATCCTCCTTCCAAATTTTCGAAATGTGCTCTCCCTACATCTCATTTTCTTACTCCTTCTCGATTTCGAGTCTTCCCATTTGTCTGAATACATCTTCTGTGAGGCCTACGAAACCGATAGAATTCGTTAGCGTGCCTACGTCTTGTTTGGACATAGATATTCGTACGTCACACCTGGCCAGACCTGCCGTGCTAGTCCACGCCACCTCCGCCTTTGTCCCCTGATATTAATCATTACTACGCTACTCGCATCCTGATATTGAGTTTGATTTCTTAAGCTATCGATTTCCATTGTTCAAAAAACAACTTCGATTCGTCTGCTACGTCTATGTGACTCATTCATCATGCGCATACTTTTCACGTTATTTGCCTCAAAGTTCTGAAGAGATATGGATAACCAGACAACTGCTGTTATTCATAGCGCGTTTCGACAGTCAGGAACTTCCTTGCACTTCTCTGTGTTGCTGTTCCATACATCTTCTGGTCTTTCACTGTTCTGCAGTCACGAATCTGTTATGATAAAACTGTGTACTTCACAGCCCTTATATCAATCATAAGATCATACGAGTAGACTGCTCTTGCCTTGATTGATTAGTTCCTTTCTTTCGCTTTCTAATGACTCTTTCTGCAGACCAAAGCAGCATCTCATTTTCAACATGTTCGCTCTTCCGTTCTCTATTCCATGCCAGAAATCTTTCCCATTCTTCGCATGTTTCATTCATGACTCCAAATCATCGCCGTTTTCTGACATGACTGTACTTTGAATCCTTTTGTCTCTGCGTTTCATGATATATCGTATTTTTTTCATAAGTATGTGGAATCTAATTGGTCCTTTACTCTTCCTAACCTCACTCTCATTGCAGAGTAGGTCAGGCTGTCGCGTCGGCCACTGCGCGTTCTCTCAAACCAATTCATGCCGGCGTCTGCTCCTGCTACGCCGGCAACGCCCAATCCCGTGAAGTCAGCGGCAAAAACGACGAGCAAAGACGCAACTGCTAAAGTCAAAAAGCAAAGCGATGGGAGCAATCCTAGCACTTCCTCCGGCAGCGGCAAGCCTTCGATTCATCGTCAAAAAGCAGCGTCTATGCGTATCGCTCAGGCACTTGCAATGTTCGACCAATTCGATAGGAGGTCAGTCACGGTTCATATTTTGATTTGGACTTTTTCACCTTTTGTAACATTGCTAGCTTCAATTTGTGGTCTTTATTTTCGTTATGTTTAGAATGTTGTTCTTCCTTTCTCAACTTTTTTGAACGCCATTGGGAGGCTTATTTATCATGTTAATAACATCTGGCATATTTCCGCTACCTTATCCTTGTTGTGTATACTCAAATAACTCGTCTTGTAGCAGTCTTTTTGATTATCCTCAGACACTTTCCGTGCCAATTTGCCTCTTTCCATACTTGGAAAGAACAAGAAAATGATAGACTTTTTCCTTGCCTAAGTAGAGGTTAAAGAGCGATTTCAGTCATCACTTCTTTTGATGTTTCGATGAATTCGTCTTGCGAATAATCTTTTGATTATCTTCAATTTTCATGCCATGCCCCCCTTTTCATACACAGAAAGGACTCTAGAAAATGATAAAACTTTTTCTTTGCCTAAGTAAAGGTTAGTAGGCGATTTCAGTTATCACAGCACCTATCGACAGAACATACTGGATATACAACACAGCCTTGTCGAACGCATTGATAGTCTTGTGAACTCATTGGCCGTTTTGTCTCCGAATTCGCCGAGTCCATCGAACGTCGACGAGTCCATCCGATTAGAACAACGTCGCGAAGCAAATCGTTCGGTTAGAAAATTTGATATTGCATGTTTTTCCTCTGTAAATCTTGTGCAAACCTATAGTCCAACTCTTTGTTTCAGCTGAATGCGCATCTGGTCTGCTTGCAAAGTGCATCTTGTGCTGCTAGAGACATCGCAGCTCAACAGGCTGCGGTGGCTTTTGAGGAGATACAGAAACATAGACCCCAGGAGATCAAAGGTTTGTTGGTTTTTCATGTTTCTTTTCGTTATTATACCTCTCTCCTTTTATTTTCATATTTCCTTGATGCCTTTAAAGTGCTCGCTTACAAGACCGTGTACTCTTATTCTATGAGAGCACCAGTTTCATTTGGAAGAAGTAATCGGCCCCTGATACTTATTATTTGCGGCGAACTTTCCACCGTATCTCTTTTGGAGCCAGTTTGCGCTGCGCCAATAGATCTCTTTGATTTGTAGTTTTTCTTATTTATCATTTTTGGGGAGGAGGGCTGGGTAAGAGGGTAAGGGTCACGGTTTTGGGATTTTTTGTCCATGTAATTACGTTCATAAACCTATTCGACAAATGGACAGATGTGACCATGAGTCAGCAAAATCTTCTAAAATACACTGTACCAACTGACCTCGATCTTGTGATTTCCTTGTCAAAGCCAATTTTTTCAGCGAGGTTTTGAGCTAGTAATCAAGAATCTTTGATTTGTCTAATAATCTCATAATCTATCTTCATGAAGCTACCACTGATGTACGTTGGGGTGAACTGCAGCTATTTCAAGATTGGTTATCGTCCTTTCTCTAAAAACAACAATTCGCCCTTTTGACATTACACCACAATCAGTCTCCCGGAAATCGACTTTTTTACATCGCATTATCACATAATCTAGTCGTTATCATTTAGTGAAACGTGGAAAAGTTTCAAAGAAGGAAAGAAAGGAAAAAGAAGTACCATCTTCCTCGAAAGCGGAACGAAGCGGTCATCGTGAAAAGGCCACTTCATCTAAGGTAGCGTCTTCGCGTTGTTTCTTCGCAAATATTGAGATCGAGTTACAATTTTTTGAAAATGATTAGCATGGTTTAGGCTCACGCACATGCTGCAAATCAAGCGGATTCCAACCCAGAAACACCAGTCACCACAAACAATCGTGTGGGGAATAAGCGTCGTGCTACACAAACTCCATCAGCGCCGCCTGCTGAGAAAAAGGTATCCTAAATGATTTTCGTCCTCTTTCACTGGTTTTTATTTTCAACTTTTTCAAGGTCAAAAAGGAGAATGGTGTCAAGAAAAGAACTAGTAATCGCTTGAGCAAAACTCCTAGAGTGAAGGCGAAGGAAGAAGACGAGCCCACGTACTGCTTCTGCAGTCGAGTATGTTTTTTCACGTTGCATTTTATTTCTCTCCGTTTTTCACTATTTTCGTGAACAGCACTCACATCAAACGATGTCGCCATTTTGTCTTTGTTTTTTCCTTCGTTGATTCAATTAGCGTATCCTTAATAATTTTACAATTCTTTTGGAGATTGCGTCCCATTTTCTTTTTTGGATATAGTCTAGTTGGTTTCGCAGCACTTGCTTATGCGATTGAGAGAAATGAATTATCGGACCAATTTTTGTCCTCTCGCAGTTGATCGAGTTGCGTAAGGTGCTCGGAAATCGATTAAGTTTTTTTGAGGAAATCTAAAAGGCATTCGCTAAAGAGTAGACAATATATTGTGTAGTTGCAGACGTCGAGCCAACCCACCTACCATACTTTCTGTTTTTAGATGTGACTGTTGCGCACTTTTTTCCCCATTTTTTCCATCGCAAAAATGCATATATCAATCAGACCGCGCCACATCGGATCTCGGAAGCCTCCCGCTGTATTTAAGTAGTCGATGCTGCTTGCATCGCCTTAGCTCGCTCATGTCAATCATTGCTAGTTGTATATACCAAACTTTTTGATTTGTAGAAGACAATATATTCAGTGCTTGATCATATTCTTTTTCCCGTTGCCATCATCTAGATCATGCCTGAATAACTGCTTGCAGATCTCGTTTGGTGAGATGATTGGTTGTGACAACGACAAGTGCGAAATTGAATGGTTTCACTTCGAATGTATCGGTCTCACAACAAAGCCCAAAGGCAAATGGTTCTGTCCAAATTGTCGGCATCCGGATAGTGCACGAATGCCTAAGGCGACTCGTGTCGCCAATACAAACAACAGAAATCCTGCAGTGGTCGAAAAAGTCTAGTCTTGTCCATTAGTATGTTTCCATTCTGATTATAGTATATCCTCTATAGGTTTTTAAAGCTATCCCAGATCACTTGATTTTGTTATTTTCCATTTTCATGCTATCACTTGTAGTTCTCGTGCCTATACTGCATTCACTCATACTGGCCAGTGTTCGGATAGCACTTGTCATTGAAATGGTCGAAACTCTCCGTTTGTCCTTTCCAACAGCTTACTGATTCAGTGGAGCGATCTCGTTCCTTTCCCAGCTACCAAAATATTGTGTGATTATGTCGCGATCTCTACCACCAACCAATCGTTCGTCGTTCTTGTCAGGTCTACTGGTGGGAGGTTGTGCATTGTACAGCTTCCTGCTGTAGGTAACAAAAAGATCAAATCTCTGGCATTTGAACAGCTTGAAATATGTTATGAAATCCTCTTTGTATTTATCAGTCATTTCCTAAGTATTTTTGTTAGAAAATCTGAGGTTCAGATCATCTGAATTAGGCAATTTAGTTGTTCATAGTAGCGTACTCAGGAAGGATCGCTTGTTCTTCACATTGTCTGCATTTTCCCGATTACCGGTTAATATCAGAATCTTTCCTTGGGTTAACTGAAATCATCACCAGTCTTCACAACCTCTATTGCATTCTTTATTTTTGATGGATGTGATATGTTAACATGTTTTTCGTACGATAATTTCCTCATCAGATCTCCTGTTAGCGATAAATGTAGAGAATTATGCTTCTCAGCTACAGAATCAAGATGAATAAACTCTATACGTATTAGAGCCTTGATTGGAAACAGTGGGTTCTAGAAGCCTCATATGTACCCTAAACTTGGTGTTTGACTACATTTATCCTGATGATATGATCTATCAAGACTAAATAGAGCAAAGTGGCCGCGGGTAGATGTCCTCTTCAAATGATAAGCAAGATGGAGGAGATTTACGGATAAAAACTACGCAAGGTTAAGAATGATATCTTCCTATAAATGCTCTGCAAGTATAATACGCCAGGTGAGACATACATCGCTGCAACTCAGAGGCCAGATGGAACTTGGAGGAAAGCGCGTCGTGTGAAGGATGGGTAAGTGTGAACTTCGGTGACAAATTTTCACGAGTGAAAAAAGTACTTGTAATCACAATCCTCAGGTATCATAGAATTATTCAAGCTCAAACCAACAATGCTCACGTGGTTTATGTAGAACGCTTATTATTTTCTCAAATTCATTTCAACAGCCTCCTTCCTTCTTCTAATGTCCCAGAAGACGGATACCTTTTACTTTTGGCTATCTTTTTTCTTCAAATATCTGCTCTCGATTGATTGCTTTCTTTCTTCTTGGCAAGAACACGCGCACAAATGTCTTATTCAGAAAGGATTGGAAACTGTTTAATTTACTGGGCCCATTTCCTGTCAGCTCAATTCATTGCAACCTTCTCTTAGTCTCTTTCGAAGATTCATATCCCTTACAGCGATGCACATTTCGTAACTGAGATTTTTGTAACTACTAGAGAAACAGGTTCTTGGCCACTGGTGAAGGAGGAAGGTTCGTGCACCCAATTCGTGGAACTTTTTATCTTGTTGGTGGACCTTGGGTAGACGACATACGTATCCGGTTTAACGATCCATCCGTTTCACCCATCCGCTATTGGTGAAATCACTCAGGTGAGCAATAGCGAATGGGGTGTACCAGTGAGCCAGTCGAACCGGTCAAGTCTGGCCTTGCCTTAATAGCTATACGTTACACTAGAGACATAACCCAGCTCATTTACGGTGCAATACTCATAAAACGTACTACTCATTTATTTCAGGGGATCGCCTTTTTTCTTTGTTCTGTTTTTAAGGATCAAACACAAAATAAGGGAGATTTCAGTTATATTCCACAAGAAGAGCAACCGAAGTATCAGAATCCCTCGCAAGCTGCGGCTGCTAGCCGAGGGCGAGTTGTGGTTGGAATGACTCCGCGTGAAATGAAACAAGCTACCAAAGGACCGAGGCAGCCTATAGCAGGTTGAATGTAAACCTTTGTGCAATAAGACCACAATTGCTTTTTAGCTGTATTCAAACCAAATGCGGCTATCACACCACAGGAACATATACAAAAGAAGATAGACAAAGTCAAATTAAAATTGACTGAAATAGCTAAATTGGAGGTGAGTTTTCATCAAAATAATTTGATAGCAAAACCTAATCTTCGACTGAGAAAATTAACTGCAATTTGCCCTGATTCAATGCCGATGTTTAGGAAAGAATCAACAGCGGTGAAATCATTCCACTTCCCAACCAAGTTGCAAAAGTCAATCGGAAAGCAGAATACGAAAGCGAGATCGAAAAGCTTACGGAAGAAATGGAGAAACTCTGAATGTAATCACTTCATTAATATCTCTTCGATTCTTGTTAACGAGATTCGCTCACTCCACTGCTTGTTGTTGTCCTACTCGTCTCTGTAAAATGAAATTTCTAATTGTTTTATGCTGATGATTTTTTGTAAGTCTGGGAAGTAATCTATGTATGTGTACAAAACTGACACTTCTACTCGTCTTCCCGCCTTTCTCAATTTCTCATATATGGCTATATATCTTGTACCCATAATTGTGTATATCAAAGGCATTCTTACTATACGGTGTTGATTGCACAGTTTGAATACCAAAATTTCGGTGCATAATATTTTTACAAGAGGCTAAGGCTTGGAAGGGAGTCTTATTGTTAGATGATTCCAGCCTTGTCTTATTTATTTTTGGTCAGCTTTCATTTCAAATAATCACTTCTCAATTTCTGACTCTTAGGGGCGCATGAAATGGCTCGAACTTGCTAAAGTAACTGACAAAACTTGCTAAGATGCTTGTTGCGAGATATAATTGCACGCTCTTATCAAACGGCCCAACACAATTACTTCAGCAGCATATGGCGCGTTCTTTCATCATTTTCAGAGGGTTCCATCCCGCTCAAAGGACAATGTAACAAACTGGCTGAGAAGATGCCCCATATTTTTAGATCACTTCACTGCATGCCGGAAACCAAACCTACCCTGGTAAAGTCGTTGCAAAGTTGTTGAGATAATAGTCATGTCATTCTGAATGGCTTTGGCCCAGTTTTCGACGTCTCCAATCTCCTGGAATGTGGAACTTCATCGATATAGTAATGCGTCGCCGATGAGTACCAACTTTGAGGGCGTGATTGAGCGATTCTGTTATAGCCAGCCATTGTTCCGATTGTTTGGCAAGCGCTGCAGCATTATTCTCGAATCGTTTAGCTTCCACATCAAGGCGTTTCTGGTTGCCGTAAGCTTGAGATACCCTGTAAAAATTAAGAATCATGTACAAAAATCTGGAGCATAGTTCACACTGTGGTTGAAGCTATGTTCTCTCGAAACGCCTTTACTTATTTTGTGATCCGGACCAAACTTGGATCACGGAGAGCCCGCGAAATTTGAATGCTTGCTTGCCATGCGGTTATGCCCACTTTGCCACGGTGTCACTAGTGACGTCGCTGCCGAGAGCGTTCGATTTCGCACGCCTTGATTCGAACGAGATCTGCCTTCGTCTGACGTGCGTCCTTTTTTTCAGTTAAAAATGAGCTGGCACACATTGTCTTTCAAAGGGTGTCTCATTCGTGCGCATAAGCACCGCCATTTTTGACCCTTGATCCGCTTGATCCACTTCGCTATTGGTCGAATCAGTGATCTGACCAATAGCGAAGTGAAGTGGATCAAACTGGGTAAAGTGGACTAAGTATGACGCAAGCAGTAAGCGTAGAACAACCTATTTCGTTTTTTCTTTCCGCTTTTCCATTTAGTACTTGATGGCTCTGATTATCAAAAATGACAGACACTAACAGAGAGAAAAAGAAACGCAAACAGAAACGAAAACTCCGCTTGCCATTGATTTAGTCGCGCGCAGTGAATCGATTTGCTCAAGGATCTCGTGTCGGACTGGATTCGGATCACAGAAAACCATGTGTACGCCGTCTATGGATTCCACTATTAAACAGTCCACGCGCGGATCTGTTACAGTACGGATCCATTTAAAACTAATTTACTTACATTTATTCAGTTCCATTTATCAAGTTAATATTTCTGTTTACGGAGGGTTATGCAGGCTTCTAACGAATGAGACTGAGAGAGCGAGAATAATGGGTAGTTTGAACTAACGCAACGCTACAACGACACCTTTGCATGTAGATGTATATATCTATGAATGACGCGATGTAGAAAAACTTGCTTCTCCGTTATTCTTTATTTTACTATCTGAGTAAAGGTTGAGATATGTTTTGCAGGCTTCTTCTCTTGTTTCGAAGATTACCTTGGAAGCATCAATGCATATCTTATTTCAAGGATTTTCTGTTCTGTTGACTATCACACTTTAATTCCGAGATAACGAAAAAGTTCTCATACTTGTATTTGAACTCCTTGCCTCAGTCATTTCTCTAAATTTGAGAAAGGTGAAGAACTACCTAAGATTTAGGTGGTCGACCACCGCTGCTGATAAGTTGTGTGCTGCTACTATAGCTTCGTTCTTCAGCTTCTCTGAAATATATCAATCAGAAAAGCTCTCTTTCAAGGTGGCGAAAACACTAACTATTCACCCTGTTCTTCCTTTCGTAATATCTGCTTTTGTTGGTGTTCTTTTAGCATTGCAGAAAGCGACATCCTGCTCCTTTCAGTAGACTGGAATCGATCACAAACAGGCAAACAAAGACGGAAACGTGGCAGAAGAAAAATTGGTGAGGCGATATATTCCTTCTACGACGCGTCAGCAGCCGCTAACAAGCGGCGGTCCGCAGATCTGCTCTTTGTGTGCCAACGTAATTTTAATAATTCGCTTATTGTGGTTCTCATGAACTTGTTGTTCTAAGTTCTTCATTTTAATGTTAAGTGCGTCTGTGTAGATTCCTTGAAGCGGTAGGTGGATTCGAATCTCCTTTTCCCATTTGTAAATGCTTCAGATGAGTTGGAGGTCCCGTCGCCTGCTGCAAGAGCTGGCGAATGTTCTGGTGAGCAGTAGCAGAGGGATGAGGAAATATCCGTTTCCAGTGACGTTTGAAAGTGAGTGCATAGTGTGTTGCGTCTTTATACTGGCCTCTCATTAGCTTTTAGATGTTAGCTTTCCACCTGATGGCTCTATGAAACTTCCAAAAATGCCTCCTGAACCTTTTTACGATCCTGAGAAAGGAGAGAAAAAGTTTGGTTATCTACGTACTTTGGTTCTGATTAAATTCCCTCACATTCTAGATACAAAACGACGAAGCGGATGATAGAAGCTCGCGGTGTGGAGGAGGTACATAAAGAGCTCGTACATCAACAATACGGTCTTGCTGCTATTTCTGGTGGTTTTATCTCGGCTGAAGATTTTAAGTTTATCCAGGTTTAGAATCTATGCTGTTCTGATTATTAAATTGACCACTTTTCTTATCTATAGGAGAGGGTCAACAAAAATTTACTGGATAAACAGTTTGCTATTTGGCGGGTGGATCCTCCGTGGTTACCAAGGACCAAGAAAGCTCAAGGTGATATTACTATAGTCATAATAACATCATGTACTTGCCGTCCTTTGTGTTTTGCTTTTCCTTTTTTTATCAGTATTGTTTTTTTTTGTTGATTTATGGAAAAAGAGACTATAGAAAGTCATGTGTAGGTACGCGCCTTGGTGGTGGAAAGGGAAGTATACAACATTACGTAACACCAGTGAAAGCAAAGCGAATTATCCTCGAAGTCGGAGGTCACATCACGGAAATAGAGGTACGTTAGTTGTTATTCGATCATCGTAACATAATTTTTTACTTATCATTCTTCCTTGCAACACATTTTTGGGTCTCGTCGATGGTGATACTTCCAGGCAAAATCATTCCTGCTCTATCTTTGCGAGAGGTTCTCATTCCCTGTCGAATTTGTGAGTGAGAAGATTCTTGCCGAAAGGAGGGCCGCGGAAGAAGAAATTGCTCAGCACAATCAAAATCCTTTCAACTGGGAACGGGTCATAAAGTATAATATGCAGAACTGCACTAGCTGGCTTTCACGTTACGATATAGAGTGGAAAGGACGGTATCGATAGCTGTTTGTTTGCGTATGTTATATAGCATGTAGTGTTCAAAAAAAATCCGTTTCCACGTCATTCATGGCAACGGGCACGATAATAAACCTTCTATCCGACACTATGTCTCTCTTGAGATTGGTTTCGATCCATATGTTTGATCGCACTTCTTCGCGCTATCTCTTACATCTAACCCGCATGCACTGTCCTCATTGTCTTTGCCAATTATCTTTTTGACTATCTTGTCGCTACTCTTCACGAGATCTGTTGCTATGTTACCTGTCCATGTGGCAGTTGTATTCTCCTCTCATGGTAAACATTTAAAAAAACAACTCCGTTGTTGTCTCCATGTTTATATGTGTCGTGCTTCAAAACGTTTTCAAACATGAGTGCACTTTTTGAAACTCAGGAATGGCATACGGAGATGATGACGTTCTATCTATACCTTTCCGAATATTTGTTTACATCGTAGCCGGGCTACCTTTATCTGCCCTTATTATATGTGTTTTATTCTCATTGTTATTGCATTTCGATGCCGCTACGAGAACGCACTGTGAAGTTGAGAACTGGTACGTTCCGTCATCAATTTTACGCTCTTTACCAAATACATCATTTGAGGTTACCGTCGATCTCAGCAGCGGTCTCCACCTATGCTCCTGAAATGTACATTTGGCGCATGTTCATCGCAGCACATGCAGGACCACGGTTTATCGTAGCATTCGCAACCAGGTATGTAGCGTAAAATTATCTTTTTGATTTTCGGCAGTTTATCGCCTCGGTTTATTCGTATGTTTTGCTTATTTACTTTATTTTTATCAATATTTATTCATCATTTCTTGGACATGTGTAGTGTGCTGATTTTTTCTTTGTTGAACGCGGTTACGATTTGGTCAGCTCGTGACGGAACTTGTACAGCTAATTCGATTTTACAAATTTGTACAAAGGTCCTGTCAACATACCGGAAAGCTCTAAAAAGCGCCGAATAAAGTAAGAATTGTCGCAAAGTTGTCAAGCGTACTTTTCGAGCTTAGCTTTTGGTGTTGGTCTTATATCTGAAACTTTCTTAAACATGGAACCAATTAACACGGTATTTGTGTACTGGTCGTCTTTTAAATAGAAACGAGAATCATGATGGTGTAATAGGTAACTGTAAATCCTGCTAATTCATATCTTTCAACGGAGAATCATTCAAATTTTGATTTGAGACAAAATTTTTGGAGAGAAGTCAATCATGCAGGTATATTATTTTTGAGCCATAAGACCTTTGGCACTAGATAAGATCTTATCTGAACTTAACTGGGTTTGCTTGCAAACCGTTGAGTCGTAGTGAGAAAACAGGCTTAAAAATTCGGTGATGCATGACCGACATACTAGCGTAGTTGACTTATTTATATGGATTTGCAAAGTTGTATGTTTTTTTTTCTATAGAATACGCTCTTGATGTTTGATTAATATTTTATTGAGTCTGGAGAGATTTTCGTATGATTGAGTTCAGTAACCATAATTGTATCCACATTTATTGACATGCATCTCGCATAGTTCGACACTCCGCTCTATCATCTTGGTTTTTTTAACTTCAGCGAAATAGGCTTACATCTTATGTGATATGAGGCGTCTTTGAGTCAGTTCTTTTTTGTATTACATTCATCTTATCACAGGAACTATCTACTTTTCTCTCCGTTACGGCCACTAACAGGAGTGCGCATGTATAGATTGCTATGCAATGTAGCTTGCACTCTCGAGTTCCTCGAAAATCTTTTCCTGTTGGGATTGACAGCAATTTCTTCTATCGAGAATCACGGTGAGTCTCTCTTTCTTAACTGTGAATCATTTTTTCTTACTCGTAACAGCTTCATTGTGGTATAATTCAGAACTTCACAAACTTTGCTTTTGTGGATTTGCCATAACAGCCACAATATATATGTTGCTTAGTACATGGCTCTTTCATTATTCGGGAAGAAGACGTGCGACAAACCTAGTAATATTACGTTTAGTCAGAAAATCTCGCATCATTTCTCATTGTTTCAGGGTGAACGATCGTATGAGTATAAGATTCTAGCTTGTGCTTGCTCCATAATTTCAATGATGCTTGCGACATATCTATATTGGAGGCACAATACCTACTGCGAGCCAGGAGTGTACACGATGTTTGCGTTAGCTGAATACTGTGTGGTGATCGCTAACATAGCTTTCCATTCCACGCTATATTATGACTTCAATGGCAAGAGCGTCATATTGGGATCAACTGTAGGAGTAGGAAGCAGCGGTTACACCCTGCTGCCCACCCACATCGAAAAGGATACGTGAACCATGGAGACCAGTAGATTTAGTGCGGTCCACTCTGTTGAAGCATTTCTGTGCTTGTTTTTGTTTTTAGATGTGTTTGTAGGCTAATGCCAGAAATATATTTCACAGAAGCCGAAGCAGCTTCTGATTAGTCGTTCATATCCGTTGCGAACACGATCTCGAAGGCTTTCTAAACATGGAGTAAGCAATGTTTCGTGTCGAAAGCTTGAATATATGATGCACTAGTGGAAAAGCTCCATATGCAAGAGCTGAATGGGTACACTTTTTACATATTTTTGTGGGAACCGTTTTGTTCTAACACATATTCACGGGTCACAATGCACATAATAAGTTAATATTCTATCACATGCGATGATGTTTTGGCTGGAGATCAGAAAGTGGCTTTTTGATTTTTGTCAGCAGCGCATTGACTAAGTCTACCTTTTTTGCTTTGAGTTCATTTCTAATTGTGCGAGCACTGCTGCGAGCTATAACGTGGTCAGTTGCCACAAACAAAAATACTCCTGCATGTTTGTCTGAATGTTTAGGCAACTATCTATTTTGCTTCGCTTGATGCAATTAATATATCCTACTGTGATTGTGACATTGCATACGGTGATAACAGAGCATTGCTACATTTTTTCAAGATGAATTGGTTGTTTCTATATATCACTTTGTTCTTTCATTGTCGAACTTGTCAGTAACGTGAATGCCAATGGAGTAGTGATTTTGCATAGTTTCAATCGAGATTCGATGAATTCTTATACATTGGTGACTTATGGAATAAAAGTTATCATATTGCAAAGATTACGTTTTTGTTAGCGTTGTAAAGTTGTTGCTGTCAGTATCTGTGGCGGAAGATTGTAGTGTTAGCGAAATCGTCGATGTTTAGATGGTCTTTTTCGCTTGTGATCAATGTGGCGAGTCGCTAAAAAAGAGCCAGGTGTGTACTTTATTTATTGCTCAGTTTCGCTCCCTTATGTGTTGCTCCAAGATCGGTTCTGGGAATTCGTAGCTGTTCAGACTAAATCAAATCGCCACTGAGTTATATTGGGTTGTTTCAAAAGTTTTACCCGTTTTCGAACTTTGACTTTGATTCCCATAACTCTTCTCAGAAAAAATCTTTGCAATTGCTATAAACTGTATTATAATCTGAAATCTTTGGCCATTCTGCGCACTTTATAAGATTATTGCAGTAACAGCGGAGAAGATTTTATACGCGAAAATCGAGGAACATCTCCTTGTAGAAACCTTCACTTTGCAAAAGCATAACTTGATTTGGAATATAGCTGAGGTACACAAGCACTGCTCACAGTGTAGCCCATAGTCGACTGAGCAGTACCGCTAACTTTGGATTTCATCAAACTCTTTCATAAAAATTTTGTGTTGAAAAATCCGAAAGGACCCACTTATTTTGCTCTTTCTGAGGCGGCAAAAGTGCAATTTTTTGCATTTTTGATTTTGTTCGCCGTTGACGAACCAGGATATCTTTTCCTTCTTCTAGTAGCAGTTGTTCTAGCTCTAATCTTACTATATAGAGTAAAAGTTCCACGATTGCAATATGTTTATGATTTTTATGCGACTTCAAGGGGCCATAAAGACAGATTATGTTTGAGCTATTAATTTGTAGGTTCAAAATTTTTTTGAAATCATATCTCGCGTGCGTTTTGTAGCACATGTCTCCAACACATTATGTATGTTTTGAAAAAAAAATTTCTTTTGGCTGTAGATTTCACGGCGATAGAGCAAAGACGAAAATTTTCACATTTGTTTTGTTGTCTTTTCAAAGTACGCAACTACGCAGCGAACAAAGATCTATGAAAAAGAGAACATGCCTGAAAAATAGAAGAAAAGAGCTTTTGAATGATATAAGCAATGTTTATGAAAAATGTTTCTTCCTCCAAAATCGGCAAACTTTTGAAACAACATAATACTTTACTCAAAATACAGGCGTAGGGACAGGGCTTGCGTTGAGCTCTGGCCACTCTAGCTACTGACTGCGATTTCATTACGAGGCGATTTCATTACGAGGCGATTTCTGCAATAAGACAACGGCTAGGCTTGAGGCATACTTCCCGCGATTCGCCATCCGCGCTACTTCTAGTTAGTATTTTATAATTTCGCCGTTTTGCTAGAGGCCCACGATTAACCGTGCGCGAGTATCAGATGCATGCCGTGTAGTTTCGGTAAGTTCTCGCAAAACTATCAAGTCTGGCTCAAGAAAAGTGCGCTTATGAAATATAATGAAACCGCTGCAGTGCCATATCGCGCAGCGACTGGAATCGCGTGAGGTATGCCTTTAGGCCTTACACATTCAAATGCCGGCAAATCATGCATGACGATCGTGCTAGCTGTTTGGCGCGACAAATCGCTGACCTTTTTCTAGGCCATACTTATTCCAGCGCTTTCTTGAGATTTGGCTAAAATTCATCAATATCGCGTCTTCGGTTTGAAATTAGCACGGGTTGATTGATTGATTGCTTTCCTGGAAGTTTTTATCGTACCTTTTTAGTATTTGAGCCTGATTTCTCATGAAGATACTTGAAAGTTAGTATTTTGTGATTTCGCTGATCATTCAATTTCTTGTAACGAATTCTTGGTTAGCGTTTATCAAAATGAACGCAATGTGTAAGCTGCTCTATTTTAGGTTGAGAAGCACTCCTTCAGATGCCACTCTAAAAGCTACAGTTGCATCGACTGTCAAGTCTGTTTCACGTAAGTTTTTATACGATCCTCCACTCATCATCGTGTTCACGCTTCTTTTCGAATTCGCTTTGATCGTCTTTCTACCACAATAAAGAACTGAAGACGGCATGAATGTGCTGCAATATTTTCTTGAAACCTATTACTCCAATTCCATGTTTTCTTCATGTCAATTTATTTTAGATAATGACTTGTTTTTTGCGACTATTTTTGGAATCATTTCCTCGTTTAGCATTATAAGCATTTCCTCGTTTAGCATTATAAGCCAGTTTTTACTCATAGATGATGTCAATGCTTTCCATATTCATAGAAGAGGTAGTAGACATTGCAGAAATGTGAAGTGCAAAATTACTTCAATTCGACTCGCTAAGTCATATTTGGCGCCTTTTCACCTTCAGCTATAAATAATGGTAGATCAGTAAAAGTCTGCCATATGTATGCATGGCGGGTGCAGTCCATTATCGATATGAATCAATGTTATTTGAAGTGAAATATAGTCATACTTTTCTTCCTTCATCTTCTCAACAAAAATCAACGTCTTGGAGGACTTATTCATGCTCATCATCTTGAGAGCCAATGATTTTTTTCCCAGGATATTCATCTCCATCTGCATCCCTTCGTATCACGCTTGTTTTTCTTTTTTCTGTGTATTTCCTACGATTTGCTCTCCTCTTACCTATCTCGTCTTTGTTTATTCAAAGCAAAACTCATAATAAAAAATAATAACGCAAGGCGAATTAATAAGTTTGAGCCGAACCTAGCAGGAAGGAGGCTTTTCGATTATCATTTCTGGTTCCAGACTTTGTCAGACTCACTGCAGCTTCAATATGAGCTTAGAAACGCACGAAAAGTTAAATATCGCATGTTTTTCTATTATCTTTTGGAAGAAGAGTGTATTGGTTTCACTCCATCTCAATTTCTCACATTTCCTTTGTGTGTCCTGATGTAGCTGTGGATGAAGGTGCTCATCCTACAATCCGACGGGTTTTCTCGTTCTAGCTTCAAATTTATTCTAATGGATGTTATCCATCTGACGCAAAATTTTGGGCCAAAACATCGCTCATGAGGCTGATGCGAGGCTTGTGTATCGATGTATCAACAATTCTGCGTTTTAGAACTTTTTACCTCTTCTATCTTCTTCCAGAGTGGCGATCTTGTTACTATAAGTTCGCTAGCTACGTTTCTTTGTTGCAGAAACAAGGTGTAATCAAAGTCAAACTTTGTAACTTTTCATCCATGTAATGCATAATTGTCTCTTTACTTTTATCTGTATTGAAGAGCATAACCTTTCACTTACTATTTTGATTATTTCATTTCATTTCATTTGTACGCTCAAGGCGTTCCATAAGAAAAAAGACACATCAAGAAGTTAGTAATACAGCGGACACGAACAAGACAACAAGATTAGCTCGTTTTACTAGTCTAAATTAAAAGTGCATCATCCACTCTTAGGTTTAGTGGTCTTTTTAACACCCCGTTGTAGAGCTGGCTTGATTGAGATTGTAATATTAAGTAAACCGCCGGTCGCTCCTCTTTACTGTAAGATTAGTAGGAACCTTGGTAACGTCTTGAGCTAATGAAGGCCTTATGCCTCAGAAAGCAAACCGGACGACCTAAAAGCGTTCACATTAGGGTAGTCAGCCGCTGACTAAAAAACCCCGCACTTGGCTGTAATCTTTTTTAGGGAACTACACAGACTCCCGTAAAAGTAAGCTGTGAGAAACTTGTGTGAAAACTCCCTTAACACGTTTCGGACCGGTGCTGCACATGGTGCAGCACGCTGCTTTGAGGGATCTTTCTGGCGTTTGCAGAAGGTTTCCTTTTAGTCTGAAGTTGTTAAGTTAAAGGTCTAACCTCCTACTTTTCAAATGACTCTGTATAGTTGTGCCGCCGATATTTGTTTAGGAGATATGAGCACAAATCGAACAACAGTTGCAACGAAGTGCGGCGACGCGAACGACGCGTGCGACGTCGCAACTTTCCTTTGCTTTGATATCAAGGAGAAAAACCGTAGTTTTGATACTGATGTGTACCGTGTCCAACATAGATACTTTTGAATACTATTAGAATCTGAGTTCTTGTTCCTATCTTTCAAGAAAGCACAAAAGTCCCTCTCAAGTGACAAAATTCAAACACTTCGATTTCACTCAGAACTTTGGATATGGAGCTTATCTGACATGCTGATTACAAATGTGGCCCATAGGCTGCGAAATAAGGTCCCTTTGTAGGCTAACGGCTGAAAGTACACTCTTTTTCGCCGCGCGCGATTTCGCGGTCCGAAACTTGTTAAGCAACTTTTCAGGCTATTTTGGAACTCTTTCAAACGACGGCGATCCAATGACGCGGTATAGTGAAAATCCCTACCGTAATCTCAGAGTAATAAAGAGAGATTATGATACGCTTTATAGTGTAGATTTGAGTTGAAACCAGCTCTACGATATGGTGCTTAAGGGACCTCAAAAGTTTTTTATACAGAAAAATTATTAGAGATCGAGTGTTCGCTACATTTTTTGGACACCTGTATATTCTTTTTACCGATTTTGGATGCGTTATGGAAATGACGAGTCTGCAGATATTCATGTGTATCATATATACTGCGATTAGATCTGTAGCTGGAATTATGTAAAAATTCTTTCCGTATGTCCAAAATGCTTGAAACCACGTCCGATATCATGTGCTGCTAAAGTAATTATTTTTCGGGGGAGGGGAGAGAGAGAGAGAAGAGATTTTGTTGGAGCGCGGCGGATGTTACGGTATCCCATTTTTGCATTCTTGCCTTCATCGTATCGAAATTTCGCCGAAAATTCTTATACTTCTGGTTTTTGCTCTTTTCTCACTCCGTCTGTCACAATTCGGCGTTAACTACCACAGCTTGAAACAGAATGAATGTGGTTTTCTTTGGGATCTTTGCTACTTTGCGTCAAATTAGATAACATTGCCCTGGAGAATTTGAACACCTTTACATCTAAATTGGCCCTACACTTGCTTCATGAGATCAGTATGAACTTGAAAAAACATTTGATTACCTTTCTTCTTTAGCCCTTACACCTACCAACAGCATGTCAAATGCATCACTGAAAATCAAAAATATGGATCGAAAAACTACGTTGAAAAGGAAGCAAAGGTGCAGCTACAGCTCATTCTCTACATTCTAAATAATTACGTTTTCAGGGAGAACTGAAACAGAATGCATGGTGTGAGCAGGTGGAGCGAGCGATTGAATTTGTTAAGGACCCAAAGTTGAAGGGTTTACTGCAGAATATCCAAGGGTACAGCAACATTCCACGCAAGGTTTGTTTTTGTCATTGCCTAGTAATCTGACTTCTTGGTCACACAAATAGCGCCTTTTAGGAAGCAAAGTTTATAAATTTCTTGACCAATTCTTGTCGTATTCGGGATACTGCATTATGCAAAATGGCCTGGAAAGCTATAGCCGATGAAGCAGAAAAATTGAAGAAGGAAGAGCAGGCCAAGAAAGAAGCGGAGGCTGAAATAGCTAAAGAAGCAGAGGTAGATCTGTGAGAATCTTCGGTTTGTTTTCATTGTGCAGTTTTTTTAGAAAGCCAAACAGTCTTCTTCGGAGGCTAAGCCAAACGATGGGAACGGCAATGAGAAAGCTAATGGGAATGAGGTTTGTATTTTTTGCAAAGTTGAATGTCCTCGTTTCTCTGATTCAACAAAAATTTTAAATCGTAGCAGCAGTCTGTGCTGTATAGAACTTGTTTTCTCGTGAAACGTTGTGAAAATTTCTTTCCTACAAGTTCAAATCTTTTTTGCAGCTTCTTAACAGTTTTGTGTTGACTTGGTCTAAGCTGAGAAATTGATTACTGTATTTAGCCTGTAATATCTCCACTATCTCTCTGCATGCTCCAATGATTCACCTTTTTTTGATATGTATATCTTTTGTTGATTCTCCGAGCTGTAGTACGATAAATCAAGAATGCCTTTTTGGCAAATATCCCTATCTCTACATATATAAAACTCAAAGTGTGTTTGTCTGTTAATAAGTATGTTTTTTATACAAATCTTTCTGAGTGGACTAAATGAGCTGAAACTTTGCACACTTACGTTTTGGACCCCGGCGCAGAACATAGGCTACTTTCCGCGGTGATTTACTAGATCCTTCTATTGATTTGTTGATTTGTTTACTTACATCTGGGAAAATGAGGTTTGACATGCTCAAACCAATCATTTTGCCGTGATCATGTAGTGGGATGGTAAAGCTCATTTCAATCTCAATGTCGGAAAGATGCGGGCAATTCGTTTCAAAGCCCTGTTTGCGCAGAAGAAGCTCAACAGCGTAAGTATAAGTAACTTCTTCTTAGCTAAACTGGAGTCCCGAGTGAAACCGGGACCGCCGGCTAGTCTTATATATAAAGCTGAATGTCTGTTTGTCTGTCTGTCTGTCTGTATGTCTGTCTGTATGTCTGTCTGTATGTCTGTACGTATGTTCCGAATAGAAAATTCCATTTCTGAACCGATCCGGACCAAACTTGGCACACATACACTACGGGCCCCGGCGGGTGTCATAGGCTACTTTTCGTCATCGATCGATATCGATTTTATCGATTTTTATCGATTTTTTTGCTGAGTTCACCTACGGGGCTGGGAGTTGGCACAGGGGGGTAATCGAGCATGGGGATTCCGAATACAATATTGGTTTTCAGGATTATCGATTACTTTTATCGATTTTATCGATTTTTTTGCAAAGTTTGAGCTACGGGGCTGGGAGTTGGCACAGGGGGGTAATCGAGCATGGGGATTCCGAATACAATATTGGTTTTCAGGATTATCGATTACTTTTATCGATTTTATCGATTTTTTTGCAAAGTTTGAGCTACGGGGCTGGGAGTTCGCACAGGGGGGTAATCGAGCATGGGGATTCCGAATACAATATTGGTTTTCAGGATTATCGATTACTTTTATCGATTTTATCGATTTTTTTGTAAAGTTTGAGCTAGGGGGCTGGGAGTTGGCACAGGGGGGTAATCGAGCATGCTGATCATCCCCAAGGGGGGTGATCAGCATGCTCGAACACCCCTGTGCCAAATTCCAGCCCCCTAGCTCAAATTTTCAAAAAATCGATAAAATCGATAAAAGTAATGGACGATCTTGAAAACTAATATTGTATTCGTAATCTGCATGCTCGATTACCCTCTGTGCAAACTCCCAGCCCCGCAGGTCAAACTTTGCAAAAAAATCGATAAAATCGATAAAAGTAATGGACGATCCTGAAAACTAATATTGTATTCGGAATCCCCATGCTCACTTCCCCCCTGTGCCAACTCCTAGCCCTGTAGGTGAACTCTGCCAAAAAATCGATAAAATCAATAAAAGCAATCGATAATTCTGAAAACTATTATTGTATTCGGAATCCCCATGCTCACTTCCCCCCTGTGCCAACTCCTAGCCCTGTAGGTGAACTCTGCGAAAAAATCGATAAAAATCGGTAAGATCGACATCGATCGATAACGAAAAGTGGACTGTGACACGCGCCGGGGCCCGAAGTGTATGTGTGCCAAGTTTGGTCCGGATACGGCGGAGCCGGGTAAGCCAGCTAGTTTCCTATAAAAACATAACCAAATTATACTAACATCCATTTTATGTCCTGTCCAATGTATGTAGGGGACTCTGCTTTAGAAGTAGTAACCGTTGCATCGCTGTGTATGAAATAAGCTATATTCACTGTTTTATTTCAGAATGCAGCTCCTGCTGTCAACTTCAAATGGAAAGCTACGATAAAACGGAAATTGCGTGAAGCTGGTGGGGAAATGAAGGTGCCTAACTCGGATGTTCTCAAAAATTTTTTGTTCCATCATCTTATCCATGAGTAATCTACTGAATTCAGGTGAAGAAGTTGCGCAAAATGGTGGTGGGTGCATATCGTGAAGCGCTTGGCGATGAGGAAGGAAGTGAAAAGCTTGAGGAGCTGTTCATGGCGAAATTAGCCAAAAGTGGAGTGACTGTGGACGGAAAACTGGCTTTACTGGTCACTTGATCAGTGAAGCCGTACTTCTTTCTCGTTTCTTTCTTATCTGTTGCGATATACGTTAAAATATTTAACCCGTTGTTACGTTGATTGTTGTTGTTATGAACAGATTTAAGATGTACAGGAATAAAATGTCTCGATATTATTATATGTCGTACTTATCTGCTTCTTGGTCCACGCCGTATGTCCTGCGCACGTCCCTCTGTCCATCTGCCGCTAAAGACCTAATCTTTCAAGTCTTCGTCTACTTTTCCCGGAAGGGGTTATGTTGGCATTATACTTGAACCATGTGCTAAGTTTCTACTTACTGTTAGTGTAAAAGTGCTGTGGCACTGTAATTTCTGTGGCCGTATTCATCAACGAACCCAGTGGCTTCCAGAACCCAATGGGTAGGCTTAACCGGTTCAACCCACGAGATCGGTATTCACGAAGTTAGGGTTCGCGAACCCAGCAACGCTTTTTGTGAATATCGATCCAATCCAATGGCACTGTTTTCGCTTACCTATTGGGTAGCGGAAATCTTGGTGAAACGTACACTTCACAATTTTACCACATTTCGTGGCATTTCCCACAAGTCAATCTATCCATCCCTTGACTAGGAACGTCTGAAATATGGGAGCATTCTCCGCGTAAAAACCATCAGCCTCAGAAATTCTTGCGTTTTTTTTTCTCAGATCACAAAACTCAAATTCTATGAAAGGCTAATTGATTGTCAAAATACTTTTTCAAGAAGATAACGCCTACGAATTAGAGAATCCTGTAGTGGTCATATGGTTATTCACTCCTAGGAAAATTGATCGTATTTCGTTGGTCTCTAAGGAAAATAATTTTGATTTTGTTTGTTGCCTCTCCGTGCTTGATCTCAGTAGTTGTGATCGTTTCTGGTTATACGGACTCCTTATTGTTGGTGATAATTTTTTTTGCCCCGTACCATTTTTGAATCTTCTCACATTTCGGCATGATACTAAGGATCATTAATAACCACGAAATGATGAAATTATGACGAAAATAAAGCCAGCATGCTAGTTACGACTTCATGCGGGGTTTTTTATAGGATTACACTCATCCTCGTCTGCGACACCAAATCCCGTTTCATTTGAGCTCAAAATTTGAAGGTTTTTTCAGCATCATCAGCTTCGTTCAGCTTCGTAAGAGGCACATACTGAGGTATAATGATGCTACCAAGTACATTTTCCCCAACATACATACCTCAATATTTTGAATTTTCCAACTCAAGAAAGTAACGAACTTGAAGTGAGCTCCCTCTTCAACAAGAGCAGAAATTTTCTATAAACTTTGCAGCACATGGAGCAAGCAGTTTTTCTAATATCTTCATCCATTTCTCATTTTACTGTGTAAATAAAAGCAATAAGGACAAAGAAATGAGATAATAACAAAGAATTCCCATTGAATGAAATATAAGCCGGCAAGCGTGACCTTCCATAATTTTCTGCACCATCTTGTTGATATGTATATGAGCTACTTGATCTTTCAAAGTCAGCTACCTCGTATATACTATTTTCCACTTTTCTGCATTATGAAACCCCTTACAGGCACTGCATGTCACAATTGACTCAATTTGAGTGGGTAAGCGTATAACCCTGGGATTTTGCAAAGAAGTGATGATGATTGTGTTCACGGATTTGTTATAGAAAACTAACACGGTTTTCGTATAAGTTACGGAAATATTTTCTATGGTAAGGAATCAAGTATGTAGACCACTTTCAAAATTCTTACTGAAGGGACACCCACTTCCTACGTCCCCTCCCATCTGATGGGAGACGGACAAGAAGCGCGATTTCTCCAGATCAGCAATGCAGCAGCCCAGTTTAGAGCCATGCGAGCCTTTAAAAACAACAGACAAAGTGTTCTAGCTTACTAACAACCTGAAGTTACCAATTGCTAACAAGGGAATGGTCACGAAGTGATCAATTCAAGCGAGTTGCCTACATTTCGATGCAGTATTCGATGCTAATTTCGAATCTGTATTCCACATCTGCTTAGCGCCTTTGTGGACGAAGTTCGAGCAGTTTAATTGCGAAAATATCGAGCAAATTTAAGAATTTGAGCACACTGCTGCATTTTCAGCTCACTTTTAAGCTTTAAGAATGTAAATTACTAGTTGCATGTTTTGGCGCGGCATTGAGCCGAACATGGCCTTGTACATTCCAAATTTACGCTTTGCATGCAGTTTCTTAGCAAAATAACGGCTTTTAACGGCTCAACGTCGCCCACATAGCCGCCTAAGCAGATATGGAATACAGGTTCGAAGTCTGCATCTGATCATTCCTTTGTAAGTCGGACGTCTTTTGTTGAAAAATTGATCGGAATACTCGCGAGATTGCATTGAATATTTGCATTTGCGCGGGTTTTTGACCTCTAGCATTCATGTTCCAAATCTATTTCAAGATACAAGTTGAGACAGGCCTGGCAACGATCTTGCATTTCTTCTCAGAAAATTAGAAGTTTTTTCTGGATTTTATTAAACCGCGATAATACGCTTATTGGTGTCCATCTGGCAATAAAAATCGCGCCTCTTGACATACACCCCACATGGTCCGTAACTGCAATATAATTTTATCATTCGTGCTGACCCTCACGATCACCGATTTGAATTTTCCATTGATTCGTAAGAAATAGCAATTTTAAAATGCTTATCACTACCGTCGCTCATGCTTATTCGGTGAATAACCTCAAAAATAGTAGTAGCACTAGGCTACAATCTTTCTAGATCGTATGTAGACTAATTTACAGGTGATATTAGTGACAGTTTTATGATCACTGCTGCAAGCTGCTTCCGATGATGATGAAATGATCGTCACTTTAGCTGAACGTCGTCTTTTTCTTACATTATAATATCATCAACTCAGACAAAACCTTTACCTTTGCAAAGCTTAAAAAATTCGTCTTCCTTGTGAATCAGAACTCTGAGCTGCTGAAAAATGTTCGGTGTGAATGGCCGAATCGTTTAATGAAAAGCAAGGGCACAAGACAAAAAAGATTAACATTGATGAAGAGGGTAACAAATAGGTGCAAGCAGAAAGCATTTTTTCTATTTTTATGGAAATGAGAAAGGAGCAACCAAAGTGGTTGTTACTCCAAATACATTTTATCATCTTACGTATTTTGTGCTATAAGGAGCACTGCTGATGTTCTTGGCTTTTTTCAGTAGTCTTTTTGATTACTGCAATGATGCAAAAGTTGAGATCAAGACCATCTAGAACAGCAACTTGAAAAAAAAATGTTTTGTGTGAGTGCCATCGGAAGTACCAATGCGGTGACTTGGGTAGAATTCTATACAATGTAGCCGTTTCTGATCAAAAGCCGTAGCTTCTAAAAAAAATACAAATTTCACAACTTACAATCACTAATTTTTTGTTCCAGTAGCGATCGTGCGACACATGGATAAACTCAGAAATTGAGTACTGACAAGATAACTTGCGACAACACTTGATGCAAATGAAATTTCGAGTTCTCACGAGCAATTCAATTGAGAGAGGTGTTATATGGAGAAGAATGAAGTCGGAGAGCAGCGCCTCCGGGGATATCCCGACGAACGAATGCCTCGACGCTATCGATTTTCGCCTGGTGAAGCTTTCGGGCGCTTCTCTAACCTAGCTCCGGCCTCGAATCCGTGCTGCTCGGCCAGGACGACCGTCGAACTGCTTCTACCCGACGACGGCCTCCATGGCGACCACCCGAGCTGCTACTTGTGAGTTTTTATTACATTTTTTACGCGGTGCACAGCTGCTGAACGCGACTCTTGGGCTCAGCGTCAAGGAACGCGCGGTTGAATTGAGCTCTCGGCCAGCGGTGGTCATTTTGCCTTGAAATGAATTAGCTTGTCTCCAGTACTTTGAAAGTATCTCGATGGGGCACCACAGTTAGTTTCTTTCAAAAAGCTTTACGTTTCATAGTATTCAGATGAAGGCATAATCGCTCCTTCTTGATTTTGATAGCTGATTTAGACGAAGAAATTAGTAAGAAGTCGCTTTTGTTGCTTGTTTTTGAACTATTTTGTACCTAATTATTAGGCATCACTAAAATACTAGAGGTGTTGTATCATGCAAGAGCTGCTTGGATGGAAAATCCCTACCTTTTGAACCAGCCGTCTGCTTTCCTTCTTGACTGACACTTGAAACTAATGTAGTACTTAATCATCATGACATTAAATAAGGAGGAAGTTGACTTTTCCCTTCAAGCGCCTATGCATGATGCATTTTCCTCCCTCCACCTTCTCCTCCCTGTCTTGATTTCTGGTGCAAAAAATAGCTGCGCTAACGAAAGAATCGCTACAGTTAAATGAACCCCACTATTAGTAACCAATGGCATTCCTGTTTATGCAAAAATTCAAAGTAAACGATTCAAGAGATCAAGAAACCATTTTTGAAGGCTGGTAAAACAATTTTCACATTTTTGTGAGGTTTGGCTTAAAGTCAGATTCACCACATCGATACCGTTTGTAAATGGGAGAGAAAAATCAAAGTTGAAGGTATCATGAACTCCGCCTCTAATCTTTTTCCCCTGTCAAAATTCTAATTGCTTGTGAGCAAGATAAGATGATGTACTCCCTGCTTGTCACTAGTGCAAATACTCGTTAACTTGAATCTCTTGACTTTTGAAAATTTTTCCGTATCCGCCAATTTCATATTACCTGAACTGTAGTAAACCAAAGAATATGTGCTCGTTAGCTTAGCTCCATGATAGAAAAAATAATAAAAGTGGACTTTGACATCATGACCAGTCTTTTCAACTATAGCTAAAAGTCATTAGCTTTTGAGGAGTGAATTAAGGGAGTGAAACTTTTTACATCGCTGCCGACGCTGTAAAATCAAACGACTGCATCATTGCGTTTCTATTCGCATGGTTATATCGTTCCTTAGTCAACCTCTAAACAATGTTAATGTTGGAGCTATGGTAGAGTGGCTAAACGCCTCTGAGATCCTACAAGACTATCAAGTTTTCTGTGAGCTTGCTGTTCTTTCGTAGCCAAATTTGAATATGCGTTT